CCCGTCCTCTCCACTACGATAATCGTTTTTGTTGTCCGAACAACTGGAGAATTGATAGTATCTAGATCACTTATACCTAGATTGTGAACACATCAATATGATTCCATCATGATTCGACAGAGAAGTGAAACAACTCTCGTCACGAACCTAGACATCCCCTAATCGGGAAGTTCGTAACGTATTTCTCATCGGGGTTCTGTGCCAGCGAGGGTGTATGCTTTCAACCAAAGCACTCACTTACCAAAGCACTACCCTACCCTACCCGATCTCATCTCATCCCATCCCTCCACATAACGCCGCTTCACCAGACTATCCCAGGCCCGTACAACATAGCGAACCCAACGCAATGGTCCTCCCGATCTCGAGGTAACCACACCATCCCGGACAATAGCACACCCACGCACGTTACCACGCCCACGATATTCCCATGCCGTGCTCCCTCCCGCGTGACGAGCTGTCCTATAACACGCAGTTCCGATGGTGTGGGTTTTGCCCCTCGTGTTCGTGGGTGGGTGCATGGGGTTCGGGTGACCGGTTTGCTGGAATGTAAAACGTGGGACAGAACTGGTAGGGGGGGGTGTGAGAAGGGAAGGGATAGGATGGGGGATGTGGAGGGGAGGTTTAAACGGGGTAGGGGATGGAGAGAGGGGAGGGGGATGGATTGGGAGATGGGGAGGGAGGACAGAGAGTGTGTGACGATTTTGTGGAAAGCTAGAGAACAAGAGAGAGAAGTTGTCAATCTAAGAAACCGCTCAAGTTGCAAGTAGCATAACTCACAGAAACGCCACTTCTAGGTCCAGAAACTCCATGACTCTACAACCCTTCCAATTTCCCATTTCCACCTCCCACGTTAACGTCGTGTAAACACATGTCGTCACTCGATTCAGCAACCACAGAATAAGTATCATGTACACGCACACTATCGGTATGTACAAGCCTGTCCATCGGCCAATTCTACCAATTCAAGCTACCTGGCCATTCTGCACCTACTCCCCATCCTACTTCCCAGTTACATAAATGCATGGAGATCGCCCCGACCTAACCAGCCTGCATACAAGCCCCCACGCTGGATACAAAATACAATGTACAACTGTGAACAAACCCATCAAACGCCGTGTCATTACTGTAATCGTAGCGAAGATCATTATGTGCAAAATACGAGATACATGTGTGTGTGCCTATAGCTGACTTTCAATACCAGCAAAGTTCTCCTCGCCGGGCCAATGTGCTTCTGGCCAAACGTAGCGCATGGCCTCCCAGATATGCCTAGAATGATTGTTAGGCTCGTAGCTTAGGCGAAATGATTTCAAGTAGTGCTTACCTAACGTGGATGATCTCTAAACCATCCTTGACTTCCTGGGGAAGATCTTTGGCACTGATACAAAATTAGTAAATCAACGTAAATAAATTCCAGGTCAACTTACTCTTTCCTGTTCTGGGCTGGCAACAGTACAGTCTTGACGCCCGCACGAAGAGCACCAATCAACTTTTCCTTAATCCCTCCAACGGCAGTCACACGGCCACGAAGAGATATCTCACCCTACGAAGGTCAGACAGCACAGTAATAATCACAGAATACAGAACTTACAGTCATGGCCATGGTTGGAGGTACCGGTTTGCCAGAGAACAAGGATATAAGCGCAATAGTATGTGCCATACCAGCCGAAGGTCCATCCTGGCGAAGATCAGCAAAAATACCCCGAATCGGAATTGGAAGACTCACTTTGGGAATCGCCCCTGAAGGACAATGCACGTGGATACTACGTTTCTTCATAATGTCCTCGGATGGATCATGCGTGAGACCCAGCTCGTAAGCATGTGCCTTGACCCAACTCAGTGCAACCTCCACACTTTCCTTGAGTACATCCCCAAGTTTGCCCGTAAGCTGCACTCGCCCGCTGCCCGGCATATCAGCTACCTCAATGAAAAGTATGCTCCCGTTTCCGCCCGAACTGTACGCCACGAGACCAGTTACGATTCCAGGACGACTAACGAGGGTGTTAGCAAATCCATCCGTCAGGAAGTTCGGAGAATAGGTTAAAAGATCCGGAAACTGTAGCTGTCCAAACTTTAAAGTCTAAAGACAGGCGGTGAAACGTGGTTAGAAAGATAGAACGAACCTAGTTTTCTCTGCGATTTCCTCGTCAAACTTCTCAATTCCCAGAATCTCCTCAATATCATCTATAGAAAGTTGTGGTTTGTACTTCTCTGAGGCAAATAATCAGTTTTCGTTCCACATGCATCTGAGACATTGAGTCCTACCCATATCACCGGAATCTTTCGCCTCAGCATACTCCACGGCTTTGGCACGGCATACCGAACCAATTTCACGCTCGAGATTCCGAACGCCAGCTTCACGTGTGTAGGACTCGATAATTTTCGACACGACGTCTTGGTTGAACTCGACCTGTCCGTCTCCGAGACCATCTACGAAAATGTTAGAATTGAGGTGTCTCAATATTGGAGGGAACTTGCTTGTTTTAATTTGCTTAGGAATAAGGTGCTGAAGAGCGATATGTCGCTTTTCAAGAGTGGTGTAGCCAGAAAGATTGATCATTTCCATACGATCGAGTAGTGGTGGTGGGATTGTTTCTAGACTATTGGCCGTGGCAATGAACAGAACTTTGCTGAGATCAATTGGGATGTTGACATAGTGATCGGTAAATGTGTGGTTCTGTTCAGGGTCTAGAACTTCAAGCATTGCCGCGGAAGGGTCGCCGTGGAAATTCGACGTACTACCCCCAGGTATTAGCTTACGTCCGGACAAGGTGAGGAGTTACATACCCGACTTTGTCGATCTCGTCAAGAAGGAATACTGGGTTTGATACACCAACTTTTTTCAGGCCTTGCACAATGAGACCCGGCATGGCCGCAACGTAAGTTCGTCGATGACCCCGAATCTCGGCTTCGTCTCTAACTCCTCCCAAGGAGATTCTGTGGAATTTCCTGCCCAACGCCGTTGCAACAGACTTCGCCAGACTTGTTTTACCAACACCTGGTGGACCAGCCAGGAGAAGAATTGGCGATTTGTCAATCATTCTCTTGCTCTTAAGGATTTCCACCTTTTCGAGTGTTTTATCTTCCTCTGCTTTTGCCACTTGCGTGTCCACATCTTGGTTGATAGATTGCTTGAGTTTCAGTACAGCGAGATACTCAAGTAAACGTTTCTTCACCTTTTCCAGGCCATAATGATCATCGTCAAACTGCTTTCTCGCTCGACCGAGTGTTTCTACACCTAGCTTGTCTTCGGTCATTGCAGTCCACGGTATCTCTGCCAAATTCTCCAGATAATTTCTTGTAACCTGATATTCTGCTTGAGCGGGCGACATCTTCTTGAGCCGCTTCATCTCCCGGTCAGCAACTTTCGCTGCTTCAGGAGTCATCTGAGCCTCATCAAGTTTCTTCTTTAATTCTTCCATTTCATTCGGTTCCTGGTCTTCTTCAGGTGGCCCTCCGCCCATGCCACCCAAACCCGGTAGAGGCATTCCCGACATCCCAGACCTTCGAGTTCGATGGCTGTTCAACTTTTCCATGTCGCTGTTGGCTGGGAAACTTGTGCTTGTGAAGGTCGTGATGCTAACATTATTCTTGATGTTGCCCACCTGCCGCTGCAAAAGAGCGATAGCCTTTTCTAACCGATCCTTCACATCCAGTGCAGCTAAGATTTGCAACTTTTCCTCAAATGAAGCTTCAACGATATTTGTCATGAAATCTGCCAATAACCCCGCATCTTGGATTCCTTTCTTCGCAATGTATAGTTCGAGGCGTCGAGCAAGCACTGGTGATAAGCTGGCAGGCCCTCCATTTCGAGGTAGTAAGGATGAAAGGCGTAAAAGAGTGAGAAGCTCACGCGATAGCTGCTTGAGGTGCGCAAAGAGGCCTTGAATCGCAATGTCTTCTGGGGAAATAGCTACAACTTGTGAGATTACAGCATAGAACGGGTTCGGCACTCTTACCCTCATCGTATTGATAAACAACATCTGCCTCGAAGAATGGGCGCTCCTGCGTGATCCTCTCGATCTTAATTCTAGCAATACCCTCAACCAATAATGCAAACTCCCCCGTTCCTTTGCCTTCTACACCAGATATCTTGGCCGCCACCCCATATCCAAAAAGATCTTCTCTTGTAGCAGTCGCAGGGTTGATGTCCATCCGTTCCTTTGGTCTTCCATCCCGCTCATCTTGTGTTATCATTCTTTGCCCATGGTTGTTTAGGTAATTCGAGGTCAACGGGACGCATGCAACATTGACATTCTCCAGGCGCTGGCTCGGCGTCCTCGTTGCAGCTTTGCTATATATATTGGATAACAGTGCAGGTATGTCGGATCGATTGCCGGCGACTGGTATCCGCAGGACGATTCCCGGTAACAGGACTGTATCTTTTGCTAATGGTATTAAAGGAAGGCTCACAGCCTTTGATGGTGCCATCTTTGACGGTCTCGATTATCTAAGAAGTGGAAGCTGATCAGGAATGTAGGTTCGATTTGAGAAATACTGGTATCGATCAATGTTGTCACAAAGAAGCTGTCTGTTGATTAAGTTTAGGAGTGACGATGTGACAGTGGCAATCAATCACTACTTCGTATGTTGCAGTTGCGCGTTGGGCCGAGGTTGTGTCAGGCATGGCTTAAATCCGAACGCCGAAAGCAGATGGGTTCTCGACTACACTTGTGGCTATTATAGTACAAGCAAATATCTGATAGCTTACTGCATTCTTGAAGCAACAACTCAGTCAAATACATGCCATATTGTATTGTAGGCTGTGGTATGACTTTTCATTAATTCCTTGGCCGGTCGCGCCTCGATTGGCGGAAAAGTGCCACGGACAACAGACAGCACTCATGACAACAGAGCCTCCAGCAATAACATATGTACCACCATCAAAGCAAATCCTGTCAGGCGTTTTTATATTCTGTTTCCCGCGGTTTACTTCAAGTTACCAATATAGATTGTGGCATTTGAGGCCTATAATAGCTTTCCAGTCACATTTTCAAAGCAGTATGGCTTCACGCTCACAACATATAATAGATACATGGCTAGCTGAGCTCCAGGCTCAAGAAGCCAAAAGCATTGCGGATTATCCTAGCTACTATGTTGCAAGTCCAGAAGAACTTGTCACCACGTCTCGGCCGGCAACATTTAGCATTGGAACTGGAGCACGAATCCTGTCGAGCGTATTTCCAGCGTGTCTTGAAGCAGAGCATGAACTCATCATTGTCACTTGTTTCTGGGCGAAATCTGCCTCACAGCAACAATTGGCAGACCTATTGCAAGAGCTATCCGCTAAAGCCATAGCGAGGAAACGAAAAATCCAAGTTCGACTGTGTTTTTCCTCAAGCTCAATATGGCAGAAATTGACGCAAACATCGAGCTTAGATGGGCAATTTTATCCTCCGTCGTCATGGGAAGGTCTAGGGCTCCCATCGCCAGCAGCAATCCCAGGCATTGAGATGCTTGTTAAAAGTGTCTTCGTCAGGCCCTTTAGCGTAATGCACCCAAAGTTCATTTTGGTGGACAGGAAACTCGCGTTTATGCCAAGCTGTAATGTCAGCTGGGAAGATTGGTTTGAGGGCTGTGTCGAAATGAGAGGCGAGATATGTGGAAAGCTATTTGGATTTTGGGAAGCTTTTTGGAGTCGAGGAAGTCCTACTTTACCACAGTTTCGTGATGAAAACGAGGAGATTGATGTTGGTGAAGAGACCATCACAAGTAATACCAACTCAGTAAAGGCCTTGCTTGGTCACTCAAAAATATCCCATTCGACACCCATCACAACCATCCTGCTCCCATCACCACACCACCAAAACCCTCGATTCAAACCTCATTCAAGCACAACCCCACCCGTCCCGCCAACACCCCTCAACATATTCCTCCTACATATCCTCAACTCCGCCCAAAAAGACATATATCTCCAAACCCCCAATCTAACCGCAAAACCCGTCATCTACGCCTTACTCTCGGCTCTCGAACGCGGAATCAACATAGAGCTCGTCACAAGCAGCATCCTCATGATCTTCGAGCAGCTAGGCACAGCAGGCACCATCACCGAGTTCGAAATCTGGAAGCTCCGCCGTCGCTACCTAAAACTATGTCAGAGCTACGAAGCCAAGTCACATACAGACCCCGAACTCCAAACTCCCAGGCCAGGAACGTTGAAAATAGGATACTACAACCCTCGACCTCATACAGCAGGGAATTTGGGGTACGATGAGCCCGCCAAATCCCACCTCAAGCTGACCATCGTGGACGACGAGATTGTGGTTTTGGGAAGCGGAAATATGGACCGCGCTAGTTTCTATACCAGCCAGGAACTTGGTATAGCCTTTTTCTCCAAGGACCTAGCTACGGTAGTCAAGTCTACTACGGTAGAGGCGCTGCAGGGGAGAGTAAATCATTATTTCCCTTGAGCGAAGAAGAAAAGTGCAGTTGTGATCAGCAAGTAATTGTGATGTCAGAACGTGAACACTTCATCTTCCACTTTGCATTTGCAGCCACGGATTCTAGACCAGCAAGGAACAAGTGGTTAGAGGTCTGTGATTCACAGCTAGTGGTGACAGGAAGTCACGACTAAAAGGACCCCGATACTCTTTTAGTTCCTTTAGTTCACTCCATATCAAAAGGGTCCTCCACGCTAACGTTGTGTTATGGCGTCAAAAGACAACCTCACTACCCCAGGTTAGGAAATCTGTGGATCACATAGGGCTTAGCACTGGTATGGGAAATGGATTTGATCTCAGAATCATGTCGTAATTACTTCATCTCGTCTTTTTCTTTCTAGTGACTTCGGACCCCAAATTCCCTTATTTATGTCCTGGGATTTGCGCATATCGTTTCCTTTTCCTTTTTCCACTTCTGCTCTGTATATTTCATCTCATCCTGATAATTCATCTCCAAGTACCTCCAAAATATTCAATAAATTCGACATCTTCTTCATTTCACATTCAACAGTTCATCTCCAACATCTTCAACAACCTCAACATTATCACTATCATCACCATTGCCAACTCTCTTCCTCTCCCCTCGTATCACTTTCCTTTAGAGGTGAGAAGACCCCCTCTGCCATCCAGGTTCACCTTTCCCTCCCCCAACCCAGTCTAAACGGCGCAGACCATTCACAACCGAAAGCCCCTGTGATTAAGGTATCAGCAACCACTTGTTGACAAACGTGATTGCCTCGAGGGTCAACGTCGTTTTTACAACTCGTTGCCATTGGTACTATGATCCAGGTTTTGAATAGCCTCTGCTCGAATTTGGGGTTATCCCCGGGCAAGTGGGAAGGTCATCGGCAGTTCTCACGACTTTTACTAACTAAAAGACAATAGGGAGTCGGGTTCTTCTTCGAGATTGATTGTAAGCTTCTTCGGATTCTTTCTGGGTTCTGGTTTCTTGTACATACCTTCTCTGCTATGTAAGACTATTTACCGCTTTTTATAACACTTCAATCTAACATCTCATTCAGCAGCTTCAGTGGTTAGATACGAATTGCAGCCTCTTTCAAGCTCTTCGTTCTTTGTCCCTCCTGTAAAAGTACGCTGCATTCGTGACCTTCCGACACGTCATAACACTCGCTACAATACACCCTCGTTTGAGAACCGCCGCGGTCTTCCAGAAGGTCGATACACATTTTTTAGGAGCCCTGATTTCACAAGGTACAACATGGGCAATCCATTCAAGAGGCCTAGCAAAGAATTGGTGCGGCCAGCGCCAGTCGCTAGCACACAAGATACCAGGTCAATGAATCGTACTTTGGGTCGTAAGTCAAGACCATTCCTTTGTTCACCTACACAGCAGCTTACCCCTAGCAGCCACGAGAATCGGGAAGAAGACCGGAGAGCGGCATGGTCCTCTGACCAAGTTTGAAGTATTTGGACGCTTACCTCCAGAGATACGAGTGAAAATCTGGAAAGAAGCCTGCCATGCACCGCGAGCAGTAGAAATCATGCGCCGCGAGGAGGACAGCGAGGGAAGCAAGTTCCCACATCGAAATCTTCCACCAGCAGTCCTCGAGGTCAATAGGGAGGCTCGCAATGAGGGATTGAGGCTCTACAATACCTTTTTCAGTTCCGCGGTTTATCCCGCCTATAAATCATATATCAACTGGAATGTTGATTATTTGTTCCTCCAGAAGGAACCAAATGAGGACTGCCAAGCGGAACTCATTCCTGCGCGTGGTTATTTCGATCACATGGCAGTCAAGAAGTGTCCTCGTATCGCCATATTGGCGTCGGATACTTTTTGGTTTCTGACATGGTTTTTGGATGCAAAGGATGAACGTGGAAACGCCCCCGAAGAGCTTGTAGAGTTTCGTCAGAGGCTGCAAACTCTGATGATCATCGAGAACGGAAACCCTGCTTACTACAAAGGGGAGGGTATCAAGTATATGGGGCTCCGTGACCAGGGCGACATCGACGAGACAGATAGTCGAAATGTGGTATCCGACTTCCACCTGTTGAGGACGCTATCTTTTGAGGAAATCGTCGAACTTGTGCCGAACTTAGTCGACAACATTCGGAAGCATCTTTCCAATGTTGAGGTGAAGATGGGTCGGGTGGAATGGCAGAGCGAGGATCCATCCTGAGACGCAAAGGGGATGCATTCGAGCAATCATGTGGAGCTGCGAGAGCTTGCAGGCAGACAGAATACGTATTGGACATTCGGCATTAACCTGCCATTTCTTCCTATATTTACTCGTTTATGGAGAACGTACTTGACCTGGCATTGATTAAACTCATTAGCTTATTATATGCTGCATGTCGCTTCGGCACCAAATTTGTGCCAGGCTTCAAAAACATACCTGTCACTCCCCCCTGCATACAACAACCTAAGAGACAACCTCCAGCGTCTAAGCAACCTCAATCTTAAACCGCAAGAACCAGCAGTCTTGACCGAAGAGAGGAATCGATGCTACTTACGGACCCCCGTGTCTCACACGAAAACGGCTATGGTGACAATGGATGCCGGCCTGCGTGTTCTTAGTACGGAATTTCACGTATGAGAAATTTTCATCGCAATACCTATAAGAATCAGCAAGCTCCACGGAAGAGAGGAAGTCTGGAACTGGTACTACCCACTGATTTGGTATGTCGCGTTGGTCGAAATAGTAGGAGTTGAAAAGAGAAGAGAGTTGTGTAGAAAATAAAAAGTAAAAGTGTCACTTCTGTACATCTACAAGGAAGGAGCGGCCCAGTCTGAGGTTTCTAGAAGAGGGGAACTGTCGTATTGTACCTAATTACTGATCCTCGTATTTCATACGGAGATGGTATGGGGATCACCATGACACCTGGTGTTGGCGGTCTTCTTACGAATATTCATGTTTGAATTAGAGTCTTGTATTGGCAAAGCAGTGGTCCTTGAGATGTGAAGTTGCGAACAGCCCGGGGAGTGTTTAGCTGAGATGTAGGAGTGTTATATATGTACAGTACATTCGCGAGGAAGGATCCACTCAATCTGAACTTGATTGGTGTTATATTTCCTTCCTACCTACATAACTTAAATAAAAGCTTTCAGCCATTTGTCTTATTTTGGCCATGTGATCTTACAATATAGGCGTGTGCATCAATACATTTCTAGAGTCATGTTTCTTAGTTGCACACTTCAATAAATAGCTTGAGAGGGGTAAAAAGGATTGTGAGATATGTATGTACTGCAGTGCAAAGGTTAGGCCGAATGATACATCTCAAATGTCAAGCTAAGTCGAAAGCCACCTACACAAAGGTAGAGACATCTTCAATCGTATGAATATTTTGTTTAGACAATGTTATAGTACACGTTCAACAGCCACCAGCAAATACTACCAGAAAAACGACTACATGGTATCCATTCTATCTTACAGATCCCAACTCCATAGAACAATCACAACGCTCGCTCAAGAACAAAAACTTACTTCGAGCTATAAAACTGCAGAACTATTAGCACACGTCTCTGAATCACACATCAAAACATACCTCGCTCGCCTCTTCCGCAGTGACATTCGACCCATCAGTCGTACTCTGATCAATCAACCCCAATTTTCCTCTCTTAACATCAACCCAAAACACCTTCCCCTCGCCACCGTTATTACTATCCAACTCCCCACCCAACAACGCCTTCTTCAACGCCTTCACGAAATCATTATAAATCTCCGGCATATCAAGGTCAACCATCTCTTCCCTCATGACCCTCAGATTCTCCAGTGCACGCGCATAAGAAGCTTCGCCCACACTTTCCTTGACTAGCTTGCGGATGATAGCACCCATCTGTTTTGTGGTGCTGAGGATCTCGGCTTCAGAAGTGGTGCGTCCGAGCGCTTGTCGGAATTCTGGGATGGAGTTTTCGGAGGAGATGGCTTGGGTGGTGTTTGTATCGAGGAGAGCGTCGATGTCAAGACCCGATAGGGGTGTGATTTGTTCACGATTGAAACGTTTGCCCTTTTTCTTCGCCTCGACTATAGAGAGATACGTTAGTGGTTATATAAGGATGAGCACGGTGTGACATTCACCTTTCTTAACATCAGCTACTTTTTGGAGTCTTTTCAATTGTGATGCGGCATTGGTGATCAGGTCAGCTGGCGGGTTGGCCCATTTCATAACGACCTCTGGTGGTGGCTTGATAGGTTCGTCTGGATATATAGCGCGGTTTCTGATTGCTGCATTGATTCGGTGGACTGTTGGCGAGTATGTTTCTTCCATTGTCATATATTCGATAGGTTCCCTAGGACGATTAGCAGTTGTAGACAAAAATATTTATATTAACACACCCGTCTTCACCTTTTCCGAAGGTTGATAGATCCATAGCATCTACATAATCTTCCATGGCGTCCGTCAATTCATCAGAGGGAAGATATCTATGCTGTGAAACAGTTGCACCGGAGGTTGTAACTACCCTGTCTAACGGCGGAAATCTATACATCCTGACATCTTCGGCAAACGGAAGTGGGACGTCGGCAAGACCTTCGAAGTCCGGCTCAATCACAGGAGCTAGAAGAATGATCTTAGGTTCTTTCATATCTTTGAGAACAATCCTCGCTACTGCATAGCTATCAAGCTCATGAAGAGCGTGTATCAAGGACGACAGAGCTACAACGGCCTTCTCATTCACACTCTGCGCAACGGTCATGCAGCTCTCCCCCATGACAAGATATCTCTCAAACTGGAATAATTAGCAAAATCCAACAGAAATAAAAAGAGCCGTACCGATTCGCTTGGGACAAAGCCAATGATGGAGAAACCCTCATAGGTATCCATTTTCGTAACATTCTCCTCCGCAGCGCTTATATGCACCGCCGTTCTGCCATACTCGTATCCTTTAGCGAGATCATCTCGATCAACATCTCTCTTTCCTAAGGGATAATTAGGGTCATTGACCTGGTATAGGTAATGACTTTTGACTGCCGATAAGTCGCCTGGCGCGTCAGGCATGTCAGTATCCCCAAGTGTGTTTGATGAGCTGCCATTACTAGCGGACTTGTTGTTAACAAAACTGCTTGCAGAAGGAGCTGATGCTTTCTTCGTCTTCGTATAACGGAGGACATCAATATACAAGGCAGTTTCGGGATACTTTTCGTAATCACCAAGAGCAAGCCGGCCTCCGAATGCTTTGTACGGCCTGACCGACTTGATTTCAGGAACCCCGAGATTATCAATAGCTTCAATAAGCGTAGCAATGGTACCTTTGTTGCATTGGTCCGTTAAAGACTTCAGCAGAGCTTCGTTCTCTCTCTACCAAAATGATTAGCGATTGCAGCTGAAGAAGGAACTCAACACACCTTTTGTTCGGACTTGTCTTCCTCTTTGAATCCATAATCCAGATCATCGAAATCAATTCCAAGCACGATAAGTTCGATACCCAACTCATTACACCTTAGAGCAATTTGATCAAGATTGTTGGGATCAGTATTGTCAATGTACCCCTGCCCGTCCGTGACAAGTACAATCTTCCTCCCAGATTTCGCCGGCTTTCCAGTCCCCAAGGTAGTAAACTTATTGACCATCTCAATAGCGACGACAATAGCGGAAACCGCATCTCCCGCTTCCGTTTGACTCGGTACCAACTTCTCCTGAAGACTTCCCAAATCACTCAACGTGATGGGCCCAAGCTCTTTATGAACGGCAATGTGCTGATAACTTTCATCTTCCGGGCCATCATCATCGTTATAAAGCGAGTTCTCCGACTCATCTGTTCGTAAGCCCAGGACGCCGACACTCAATGTTGTTCTGTTGGCTGCTAACACGGTTGCGATTTTGTCGTAGACATATTTCAAGGACCAGTCGAGGTCAGATTCTACTCGTCCGGAATGACACTCTGCTGTAGTACTGCCTTGATCGACTATGTATACATGAGCTTGTTTACCAGCTTCCATGATTATGACTTTTGTTGGTGAAAGTTGATGGATTGGACGATTAGGCAAACGCGACGAGGTGGACGCGAAACTGAGACGAGATCCCGTGACCTTCCAAACACCTCGGATGTTGTACGAGACGCCTCGAGTAGTCGGCGTCATGACATTCGATTCTAATATATACCTCTTTAATACCACAATTTGAAGCAACAAATCCAAGATATACGCACAATTATCTTCAAAATGCCAGATCTCTCAATTCTCGCCACTCCTGCGCCTTATCATATCCTCACGTTCGTCTTTACCACATCCATTTGTACACAACTAACACCCCATACAGATATGGCACGCTCATGGGCTCAACCTTCTTCCAATCCTTCGTAAATGGCATAATAGCCTACCAAGCCCTCCCAAAACCCATGTTCTCCCAGCTACAACAAAAGATATTCCCAGTCTACTTTACGATGCAAACAGCGCTGCCTGCCGTACTAGCCCTCACCTACCCAGGTTCTCTAGGGGGCTCCTCTAGCATCTCAGGCGTGCTGGAGAAATCGAATAAATGGGGTGTGTTAGTGCCTTTGGCGACGATGTTCGTGACTGGGTTGGCGAATGTGGCATACATTGGCCCGGAGACTACGAGGATTATGAGGGAGAGGAAGGTTCAGGGTATGTGCTCCATACCATTCTTGTACTATGTTTATGGCAACTAATTTATGGATCTGTTAGAAACTCGCGATGGGAAGAAATATTACGATCCAGCGCCTCATTCCAAGGAGATGCAGAACCTGAACATAAGATTTGGAAGAATACACGGATTTTCGGCCATGACCAATTTGGGAGGATTTATTGCCATGGTGTTATATGGTGTTACGCTTGCGTCGAGAATTCAGTAAATGGAATGGTTTGGGGCAGGGAATATGTTGCTAAAAAGGCTATACTTGGGAACAAGTCCGCTGAGCGTGCTATAGATTTAGAGCTACGTAAGTCTTTTTTGTAGCATCAATTGATGAATTTAACGATAACTTTGTTTTATGGCTCAATTGACTACTACTTGAATTAGCAATCGCAGCCTCAATCTCCGAATAAGCCAAAACATCAAAATCCGTTTATTTACAATAGCTAGCAGAGATCGCTGATAGTGCGTAGAACCATGTTTTAAAGATGATTACCTAGCGAAGACGGAGATAGATGGACACCAGCTGTAGGCATTGGTTAGAGCCATGGCCGCTCAACAATTCTAATGAATCGAGAAACCAAAAACCAGTACACTGACAAGATGATCAAACTATACTCATCAACTCATCAAAAACAGTCGTGCGCACACCCAGATTGGTGACGAACAAGATGAAGTGTCGCTTTCCTACCTACCACTCGTCTGATTTATATTTCAACTCCCCATTTGAGGTCAGTCAGTCTCATAGGGTCGAAGATATCGCGAAGGTATCTTCTCTCCTTCAAACAATCAAGGAAATATACGCTGCCATGTCATCTCGACCGATCAAACATCCCATTTCCACTTCGTTGTCCATCCCCAAGTAAACATCAATCACCTTCTCACCCATCCACTAAACCTAAATTCAGTCCTCAACAGTCAACTCTCCATCTCAAACCCAATCTCACAACCCTTAGAAACTTACAAATCAACATGAACCCCCCAAACATCCCAAACCACTCACCAAGCTAAATCCCAAGCCCAACTCCCACTCCAACCACCTTCGAAAAAGGCCAAACCGAATTAACCTTATCCAAACCAAGCACCCAAGACCGCCACTGCGGATAGCGACGTGCAACAAAAATTGCATTTTCGGAAGATGGTGGGGCGGTGCTTGCTGCGACGAGAATAACGGGTTACGGAAGTTGCTGGGTGGATGTTGGTAGGGGGCTGTGGGGATGGAGGCGAGAGGCTGGAGTTGGAGGAGGAAGGAGTAAAGATTAGGTAAATAGATGAAGAATATCACAAAGGTGTGTACAGTCGAGCTAGAATTTTCTTGGATTCTGTGTTATAAACAGTATTGTCGACAGGTCGTAAGAGATCATAGTATTCTAGCAGCTCACTTTACTCTCCACTACGACAGTCCTTTCAATTTCAACTATTTCATTCCCGTCATCTAATTCCTACTACTATATCTCTTCTCCTATCCCCTCTTTAAACACCAACCCTTCCCTCCTCCCAATTTCCTTCCAATAAAAAAAAAAAAAAAACTAATCTATGGATATCCCCAAAACGCCATACAACATGCGAAAAACAGTAAAGGAAAAAGTAATATGTAATATATAATATGTACAAGTATGATGTAGAACCTGTAATTGATAATTGGTGAATGGATTGAATGATGTCGCTTTGAAAATGCTGGTTTGAGATGTTGGGTGGTATTGTGTGGTGAGGCGAGGTGAAACGTGAGTGTGAGGTGCATGGGTGATGTGAGTTGCGGATATTAGAATGTGAGGTTTATAGATGTGATCTATATGGATTGTCGTGAGAGGCCTTGTAGGTAGACGACGAGTTTATGGCCGATGGACGTTGTTGTTAAAGAGGTATTCGGGAATGAGATTCGGCTGGACAGACTTTCGAAGTTGGTCGAGAATTATCGAGCGGTCGAGAATAGTGGAGGTGGGTGATACTTTCTGGGTGACAGTATAATGGGTTGATATATGGTCGAGTTCATAGCTTCGGTCCCGCATCAGGTATTGTCATTCCTCCATTCGCGTGTCTTTTCGTCGAAAACCACCAGGATAGAAAGCCACCTCTCAATGCCCTCTCCTCATCGCCGAAGCTTTATAGTCCCAAGACAGCCAAACACTCTGCCATCCAGACGACACTTCATCGATTTCCAACCCTACTTTCCCCCAGCCTTCTTCTTATCCTCCTTCTTAACCTTCGGCTTCGCATAAACCTTATTAGTCTCATAATGAATCCACCACGCCACACCCACCAGCAACCCCATCGCGACGAGCACAATCAGCAATATCCCCAATAACATCGGATCCGCCTTCAACACCGCCGTCGCCTCCTTTGTAAACCCCAAGAACTCAAAGGCCTTTGGCCCTGAAAACGCTTGTCCCATCCTGCCTGTCTTGCAAGATTCGTTGCTCAAAAGAATGTGTAGAAGAGAAAATCCGATCAACAGACCAAAAAAAACACAGCTCCTAAACCCTCAAAAAAAAAGGCTATCGTCGAAGAGAAAAATAATCAAAAGCCAAGACCCAAACCTATCCTCCGGCGAAGGCAAGCAGCACCCGCATCCCATATATCCCCTCCCAAAGGAACAATCGGCCCATCCAAAATCTAGACCCCCCGTTTCACACTCCCAAGAACTCACGCCATCCAACCCCAAAACTCGTGCCTCTCCCCCCAAAACTCACCACGCTCGTTTGGTGAACGCGTACCCGCCCGCACGAGTTGCGCAATTATCGACCCATTTGCGAGACAGTGTCGTTTGAGAAGTGTCGGAGGGGCTCTCGCCTCCACTTCCCCCTGAAGGAAGCGAGCACTGTAGGCGAGCGAGTGGGACGGCAGTTGCTATTTTCAGCCCTGCGATTCTTTTTTCTGGGGGTTAATTCACATCTTGGTAAAAGATGAATTTGATGTGATATATTTCTGCAGCCTGAGAGAAGTACAGTAATGAACATATAAACTCCGATGCAGGTGTTTTGTCATTCTGCAGCTTCTTCGTGGTGCGACCCAATCCACAATAATGGCCCCCTTTCCAGATCCACCTAAAGAACTGCAACCACCCACCAGACCCAAACCACAGCAAAACTCCACTGCTCTCGGGGGCGGCCCGTTTCGTAATTAGGTGCGACTTTTGCAGCCGCAATCCACCACTGGTTCCCTCGATGAATTCCGTGGGAAGGCAAGGATCACTGGATTTGTATGCGATGCACGCTCACGTTGCAGGCAGTTATTGATCTACAAATTCCCCTTTTAAGGAGCGGCGAGTCATGTAGAACAATTATCGGAATCAAGCTTCCTTATCTTTTAAAGATATAAATACTCTTATCTTGGCATTCTTAATACCTGGCAACTTTCTAGGTATGATTTTGATGTTTTTGCTCAGTTGTGATGATATCTACTCAACAGCATGCTCGTTATGCTGCCATTAAAATCACAATATTTACATCACATATCCCCAAAGCCCTCAAGTAACAATCCCAATTCATGTACGAACTATATATATGCTTCTCCGAACCAGCCTATCATGGTATCTCCCATCTACCGCCTTCAATGCGCAAACCATAGATAGACCAATGACCCCAACTCCATCAAGTGTATACAACAAAACATCAACGCCATATGCTCGTCATGCAGATGCAAACCCAGTTAAAAGCACACACAAATTGTTACATAAACCCTTCTTTTTGATGAAATCCCCAATTATTCCTCTATGCTAAGTTCCAATGCTTTGTTAGTACGGTCTAGCATGGTTTTTCGTGCCACTCCCAACGCATCCATCAACTTCTCCATCGACCGGTTGTCGTCTTTCACAGCATGCAATGCAGCCTCCATTTCGTGACACCGGCGTCTCAAACGCTCCACTTCATCATTAAGCACTCGGACTTTGTAAGCCTCTGCCGGTTGTTTGGCCAAAGTTTCCAGTGATGGCTCGCTTGTTGGTGCGCTCATTGTTTCGATTTTGAGCGAACTAAGAGGCTCGAATGCCGGTAGTGGTCTTTCAGCTTCGTGACTAACTGATGTATTCGGCGTATTGACGCCCGTGGATCCGAGACCATCTCTATGCTCATTAGTCAACTTCAAGGACTCTATCTTTTGCTCCAATTCTAATTTCGTTGCATTCCAACTCTCCCTTTCTTTTGCAGCAATCATTTCCAATTGACTTGCTTTTTTCACAATCTCAATGTACTGCTTTCCCTCCTGTACTGCAGCTTGCCGACATTCCTCGCGGCTCTTTGTCAACTCTTCGATACTCTTCTCTAGCTCTAGTATTTGCTCTTGAAGCCTGCTCCTTTCTTCAGACAAACTAATAAGCTCTGCATCAGACACATTCTGCTTCTTTTCCAGCGTACTAGCTCGCATTTGCGATCGTTGATAGGCAGCAAGTAACTTGTCGTGCTCCGACTGTAGCGTAGATATAGCGATTTTCTGAACCGAAACCTCGTGCTGGAGAGCGGCTGAGTGAGCCTGCATTGCTGGATCTGGACGTGCCGAGCCAATGGGTGGGAGATACCCGTTGATGGATGAGTGTTGTAAGCTTGATGGGTGAGGTAAATTTACTGGCTGCGAAGTGCTCCCATAAGTTGCCGAGGACGGAGACGGGAAGCTGATTGAAGTAGGGGAAGGAATTGACCGTCCAGGAGGAGAAGGCAATTGTCGGCCAATCGTGACAAGTGGAGGATTCATAATCGAGGTTCGTGAGCTTGATGGCGTTCTCTGATTTGGATCATCTTGCTGCTGCGAAGGGCCGTAATTATATCGAGGTTTCATACTTGACTGCTCCCCGATCACCGATTGTCTGTCTCTCGGATTCGACTGAAGCTTGACATCTAAAGCGGGGTCGGGAGCCTCAGCTCTCAACCCATATGGCTGGTCCGTCTCAGATTCAAGGCGCCTTCTCATCATTTCGGACTTATGTGCCTGTGGAAGATCTCCATTCCGTTCATATTGCTTGTTCAGGGGCCGCACTGAGCCGGAAGGAGAGTGTTGTACGAGAGTGTTGGCAAGACTATTGACGTGATGAACCCTGCCAAGTAGCCAATTCAATGTATGTTGCAAGCCACGTTGTGATATTGGTGGGTACTCTTTTGGGCAAGCTTCACTTATCTTCCTTTGACCAGGGCTCTATCCACCAGTACCAATTAGTTACACGCCCAACAAGCTCTGGGATGACGATACATAGCCGTGGGGTATTGAAAGTAAGACTAACCAAAGACGCAAGTCTCTCATCGGAAGAAATGCCGGAGCTAAGGGTCTCCGCCAGCTGAGTAAGCGCTGTTGCAGCGGCTTGAGTGACACTCTCGATACTTTCGTTGGCATCAGGGAAATCCGCATCCTCAGGCGGTTGCGTGAGGAGCTGCTTGCAGCGCCTGCACAGGCTGTTGCGATTTGCCTCTGGAGAGGGGTGAATGCCCTGACTTGGTTGAACCGCATGATCTCTGCTTGGGGGCCTGGGCTCCCATCCCGTGCCTACTGGCCCTATTTGGTGCTGGAGCTGCTGCAGCGAGGGACGGCGTGGTGACTGTAGATGGAGCGGTGCCTGAGGCGCTGGAGGAGGGGGAGGGGGAGGAGGAGAAGGTCGAACACGGTGGATTGACTGATTTGTATCATACGGTGTGTCTGTGAACCCAAGGTTAAGTTAGTCATCCGAATACATGAGGAACATGGAGAAGGATGCCACTTACGGCCTGTCCGTGGATGGATCCGGTGACCATTCAGACTCGAGCCTGCCAGTTCTGCGGATGTCGCGTGGTACTCATTATTGACTTCATATCTCGGTCTCTTGGCTTCGGGTTCGACGAATTCTCTCGTGTACTGATTGTGGTATGAATGAAGACCCGACTCAACGTTACCCGCGCCTCGAGGTTGCTGCAGCCTGTGATATGGTGCAGAATCAATAGGCGGCAATAGAGCTCCATGCCATTCATTCCTTTTTCCACCTGCTATAGCTCTTTCCTCCTCCCAAGGTCGTTTGATGCTCGGAGGCCCCGACAGCGAGCCATCCCGCCCTCGAGCATCCATTACCCTCACACCGCGCGCGAATGCCTTGATCGTACTGACGACAAGTCAAGCAGCCCCATCTATTCGATATGTGTCTGTCCAAGACGGTTCGTATCGGCACGGTCGAGTTGAATCGGGGGGCAAAAAAAATCCTATGCGAAGAATTGGTAAGTTTAGAAAGTTCCGAAGTCGAGGAAGGCGATATGAAAGGTTGGAGGAGGGAGAAAATATGCTTACACGCTGCCGCGCAAAAGCAGACGTTTTGCTGAAATATAGTCAAAGTGAGCTGACCTGCTTCTCAGCCCATGTTGTCATGAGGATGGTACTTGGAAATGTACGGTCCTGGATTGTGGAAGGGGGGTGGTACAGCTCCCAGGAGCAGTAGCAGGAACGACGTAGTTGCATGCAGTGCTGCTTTCCGCTTCCGATAATTCAGCGCAGCTAGGCAAACAACCAGGGGGATTTGTTGTGCAGCTCCACTTTGGAGTACGTAACTTGCAAATCTGGAGTCTTCTGCGTTCGTGGACAGGCGAGAGTTGACTAGCCTTCTTCCATAACTGATAATCCAAAGCCAGGTCCAGCCGGGAAACGAGGGTACAACTCTCATAGGGGACGGACTTGGCTCAAATCACGGCTTGAGCATGGGTGTAAGCTCCTCCAAAAGGCAGCTTGTACAAGGCGACGAGTGAGAAGAGCAGCTCGAATAGACTGTAGTCATACCAAACAGGTTGCCAAGTCCATATCCAGGTCGACTGGACGGCGTGCATCAGAGCAAGCGATTTCCAAAGCAGACCTCAGGGTGAGCCATCGGATTCGGGAGAACCATCGCGGAGGCATGATTAATAAATGTCTCGGCTCTGAGTGGGTGGTAGCGAGTGTCAGCTGTCAATTGGTTGAAAATGGGGGTCTTTTGTCGAATCCCTGTACACAGTCGTTTTGTCAGCGGCCAGATGTTGAGACCCACGGCTGAATAAGAAGGCCAAGACGTAAACTGTTCGGCAAGTGACCGCCTCGGCCTATGAGCTCAAAAGGCGGCACTCAAATGGTGTCTGCAACAAGATGTCAGCCGTTGACACTGGTTGGCCAGCGGAGGAACAGTTGAGTATCTCCGCTGCCAGACTCTGGCTACTTTCAAAGCAGGCACCAAATGCCATCCAAAAAGAAGCTGCATGAATGGCTAGTTCAAGACCGAGTACAGTCTTTCCACGGCGTTTAGTCTGACTGCATGTCATGACAATGATCTTCTCAAAGGGGGAAGTGATCGCAAGGTTAATTACGCCGGACGAAAAGCACAACCTGTGAATCAAATCAAGATTCCTCACTATGAGGTACGAATCTCAACCTCCCAACGCTGCTCTTCCCATCGCAATCAAAAATCCCAAAGAACGGAAGAAAAACGGGCCCGCAGCTTTGTCATATGAAGCCACGCAGTAGGGGTTCCGCAACTTAGCATGCGTTTCCCAATTAGATCCCGGTAGCTTGAATTTGAACCAGAACCCCCACATCTCGTTACATGACATTGTGAGACCTGCATCAAGAAGGTCATGACATAAGCCTGATCGTCCCCAAATACATGAAGGTTCATTAGGTAGAAGAGAGATCTGGCAATGATTTTCGGAGCACTTTACAAAGCGCTTAAGGAATTCAATATCCGAACAACTGAAAGGAATGAAATATGTGCAGATGCCTCGTCGTGCGATCTTGATGCAGGTCCACTGAGTGTGCCCAGGCTAATACATTGAGCAGTAACATATCCAGCATTACTATATGTGTCTTGTGATTTGCTATAGCAATAATAAAACCAAATGAATAATCAACAATCTACGCAAATGCACACAAATTGAATGTCCGCAACCTGGAAGTCCTCCGTTCGCTAAACCTCGCCTATTCACATGACTTCAGGGGTTGGTTCAACGAGGATTTTAGGGGTATTACTGCCATTTACCGATCGACCTTTATAGTGATATATATGCATCTCACGGTTACACAGTAAGCAAGGCATGATGACTGGTGGTGCATTGTCATATCTTACGAGCCATTCCCTAGCTGCAGCCTTACCGATCCCCTCAGATTAATTGTAAATTGTGCTCTGCCGCATCCAGTACCGCATCTGTAAAAACATCATTAATTCCGCCTTAGTTACATTTTTAGCTGTACCGGCGGCCTCTTTTTGGTGGCGGAGGAGATCGAGAGACGCTGTACTCTCTTCTCCTTTTATGTGGCGGAGGCGAGATCGATCGAGTGTCACGACGTCCGCCACGATGTCGTGGCGGCGATCGAGAATAGCTATCATCTCGACGACTTCTACGAGGGGGTGATACCGAGTAGCTGTCTCTTCTTGCGGCTCTTCTTGGAGGAGACTTGGAAATGCTTGAGTCGCGGCGCCGACGAGGGGCAGAGCTGACAGATGATGTATTTCTTCGTACGACGTGTCTCGGCGGAGACCTCGAATTGCTCACCGCTCGCCCTCGCTTGACCGGAGGCGTCACCGAACGACTGTCTCCACGATTGTTTCTTCGAGGGGGCGACTGAGAGTAACTTGAATACCTCCTAGAACGTCGAGGTGGACTGGCCGAAATCGATTCGCGTTTGATTGCGCGTCGAGGCGGCGTAACGGACCTAGATATGGACCTCGTCCGACTCCTGCCTCTTTGATTGCGGTTCCTCCTCTCAGGCGTTCTGGACATGGACCGTTTCCTATCCGGGGAAGGGGAACGTCTCCTATCTAGGGCTCGTGTACGTGAGGGGGTTCGACTGCGTGAGCGAGATCGGGACCCAGAATATGATGAACCTGTGTATGATGAGTAACTCGATACTGAGCTACCTGAATAAGAGCGTGAATCATCGACGGCAGCAGGGGCAGGCAAGGCAGGTTTGGGCATGTTCTGGAGGTATTCTCTCATCTCCTCCGTCACCCTGCCCATCCCAATACTAGTAAAATAATTAATGGAGAATCTCGTATTCCGAGGATTGTCGAGCGGGAAAAGACCATCAAAGTAGGGCCGCAATATATCATCTCGAAGTCTAGCTGTCAGCTTATCCATACCCATCGCCTCGGATAGGTCCTGGAAGAGAATCTTGATGAAGATTCGACTACTCGACGTCGTCTCTTCCTCGTTTAAGTGAACCACGGACAACGCGTGCCATCCAATCGCGTCTGAGCTGATGAGGTGTCCGAAGAATCGAGCAATGTTGCGGAGTCTGTTTGTCTCGTATCGATGTATAGTATCGTAGTATTTCGCGAAAGACTGCTCGAATTGTTCCGTCCACAAGCGGTTGATCTTGGCGAAACGTTCACCGATTAGTCCATAGAATTTGGAATATGTCTTTTCCTGAGAACAACATTCGATGATCATCGATGGAAGCTCGGGTTCTTGGCCAGCTGGCAGGTTGATTTTCATCAACTTGTGACAGCATTCTTCGGGGTCGATACTAGACATGATGGTCAAGTAGATGACTCGTCGAAGATTAACCAGATCGGTATTGCTTTGATCCTTAATCTCCAATGCTTTTTCGCCTTGCTTTTCGGCGTCATCCTCGCTATCGTCACTCTCCTCGTCGTCATCTTCTTCGTCGTCGCTACCTTCCCCCAAGATTTCGGCCTTCAAAGCTTTGTATGCCTCCTCGTGTTCTTCCCATTCCGGATCAAACTTGAAAATGTTCAGTCCATCCTGGACATCGATTTCTCCAACCAAGTCCACTGTATGCGTAATCTGATCCTCCTCCTCCACCAAGTCCAACTCTTCCTTGATGGCTGGATTGTCCTTATATTTGTCTTTTCGAACTTGAAACAGTACTTCGATCATGTACTGAACCCTCTTGTCGATATCGGCTTCGTGTAAGATGTTACGAAACTGATCGAACACTGCCAATGCGACCTTACTATTCATCTCTTCCAAGTGTTGACCAACTTCCCTCGTTAATCCCACAGCAATTTCCACGCTGTCGTCAGTTGGCTTGTTGAGCAGGAGGACTAGCATTTTGGCTGCAACAATTTCATTCGCTACCTGCTGGTTACAAAGATGCGCGATGAATGTGGTTGCCGAAAGACAAACAGCCTTATCATTTCTCTTGAACCCTTTTCGGAACTGCATTACCAGACGTTTTAATAAAAGTTCTCCAACTTGAGGAAGCTTGGTGTTGACAATAGCGGCCATTGCTGCGTAAATTGGTGTAAAAGGTAAACTGGCCGCTTGTGCCTTCATTATGCTGCGACAGAATAGCCCTCTTCCCCTCACCAGATTCTCCGAAAACAGTTCGGGTACAATGTGCTTAATATTTGAGACGTTGACCTTGTTGATAAGACCATTAATAGACTTCTTCAGCGCTTCCCAAGCCATGCGCTGGTATTCTTTGCTCGATTTGTCCGTAATCTGCGATTGTAATGCGCGTAGTCGAGCAGGAGGTATATAAGTTCCACCAGACCGCATAGTCAATAGCTTCTCATACTCGGCTTTTGCAGCAGCCTGCTTCTCTTCTTCCGTCCTAACCTTGACAATACCGGAATTCTTGCCTCGCGACGCCGACTCCTGCTTGAGTGCGCTTCGTCCACCTCGATCGTTCCGCGGCGAAGAAGGAGCATTGCGCGGCGGACTTGTATCTCGTAAGGCGCTCGCCGATACTGTGGAAGTTTCGACCTCCATTGTGCTGGTAATGAGGAGTTAAAAAATGTTGACGATATGTTAGTTCCAGGCTTCGCGAGCGATAGCTGCCCAACTCATGTCACCACCGGACTCCAGAGATGTCACTGGAGAATAAGTTCGAGGTTGAGTAGACGGAAGATGAGGTAGCAATGTGAGTGGAAGGATGGTTTGTGTGTCGTTGAGCTGTCGAATGTGAGCATGAGGCTGAAAGATTGATCAAGGCGAGGACGGCGAGGCAAGGCGGTTTTCCCCAGACCAGACGCGCTAAGAAATTGTCCAGCTCGCGTACAAGCCAGATCGTACCAAAGCCTTGCACAACACCACGAAATTTATCACTCCCATCACCAAAACAAATTCAAAGTTTCAGTTATACGCATCTGAATCCACACACTCCTTTCTTCAACTGCAACAATGGTATGTACTGCTCGCCGGTGAATTAATTAGATCTAATGCATTCGCAGCTCGACAGACTAGTTGGCCTTGGGATGCTCATCACCGCAACTGTCGTGTTTCTGTACTATAGCATATGGACGCTTCTTATGGTATGGAATCTGATTCTGCTTGATGTTTATGCGGTAGCTGATTCGTATAGCCATTTGTCGATGAAGGGCACCCTCTCCAAAACTTCTTTCCTCCACGAGTCTGGGCTATTCGCATACCCGTCATTCTTATTCTCTTAGCATCAGCCGTCGTAGGATCCTTCTTGAGTGTGGTTATGATCAGGAGCAACAGAAAACGAGCCGCAAAAGCCAAGGCAGCTGGAAAGAAGAAGGCGTAGGAAGCTGTGTGTTTTACTACGTAGGTGATGGGTGAGGATGAACCTCTTCAGGGGCTCACTGTAATGGGCGTTACGCGACAGTTCAGCCTGCTATATGAAATGAGGGTTATCTCTAGAACAGACAGTGGCAATGAGCAGAATCACAAGGGCAAGTTCGTCACACGGCGCGGAATGGCTAAGCAAGCTTTTGGGTCGTTCAGTGAGAATTATACTCCGAGATCTTTCTTCATATTGGGTTTACAAGCTATGCAGCAATCGAGCGAAACTTCCATCAATTTTACGAGCATATATAAGTGAAAGCAGGGATGAGAGGTGTTGAGCAGCAAGTGAGTATAACTGCACAGAGACGTGAATACTGTACTGCATGTCCCTGTACCTGACTTTGACCCGATGCAGCAGAGAGTTGTGAATCCGGAGCACTCCAACCTGTCGTATCCGGCGTGACCCAATCATCGCCCGAATTCTGCCACACTAGCGTTAACCGCATGTGGCTTCGCAATGCAACACCAGCTGCCCCGCCATCGTGATCAACAATCAAGCTCTTGACAAAGAGCATCTTCTCTACACCTTCTGAAATCGCAAAACTCTCGAATCTTTCGCCGTAGATAACAATATAAAACACCTCTTCGGCCTCTTTTCTACCACTTTCCCCGCTCTCTCCTGAATTCTGGCTGTTCAGGGAAGCAAGCGGGAAGTCGTTGCGCCGCCTCCGCGTCACCTCGATCAGCCTGCCACTCTTTGTACTTAGATTGCGATTTCAAGCTTCCAGGTTCTTTCAGAATCTGCGAGTAAACGGAACCAGTCAGACCGTGGAAGTGTTGTGAATGCCACCTTCACTGGATCAAGACAGCAGTATCCCGTCCGGCACCTCCCCGCCCCGTAAAGCAGACAAGAAGGGCGCAGGTGCTGGAGCTTCGATATCAACAAGAAACAGCAAGAAGAATGGGCAGGCGAAGGATAATGGGGGAGGTGCAATATTAGCAGCGGTAACAAAGAATGCTTCCAAGTTAAGGTGAGTCATTTTCTAAGAGGCTCTATTCCAATAACAATTAACACATCATAGTAACAAGAACTTGAAATCAAATGTAACACCTATGGAGTCGCCTGAGATGGCGCCAGTCGATACTCCTCCCACTCCCTCTCCACCAAAGGGCGATCCGGTCACATCTCCTTTGTTGGACGCTTTATCTTCAGCCGCGATAGCCAGAACGTCGAGTCAGAACACCAACGAATGGGCAAAGAATGTCCCAGCATATTCAAGCTCTCCCAATAATCTCATAAACCTGGGTGAATCACCACCTACGTTTCCATCGTCTTATGATGAAAGACTTGCTAGTTTTGGCTGGACAACAAGAGAGCAAAGGGGATCTCCGAACGGCTACATAGCCTCTGCCTCTCCTCCTGCACGACGAAGACCTCTCAGTTACCAAACGGACGGCCATTATCAAGTGGCTGATGATCACCGCTCTGTGTCGTCCTACGCGGCTCGTCGAAGTTCGATGTATTCACAGCATCCAAGACATGGACAAGGGCAGAACCCCCCACTTCCACATCAAGCGCAGGCGCATTTCTACGGTGCACCCGACGCGAATCTTCTCCTGACACCTTCTGGACCTGGGCTTGTTCCAGGAGAAAACGGCTACTACTGTGGTCTTGATACCATCGCCAACTTGCAGGATTCTTCGCGGCCTGCTGAACAAGTTGTTGTAACCGGCTATCATGGAGGTCTTAATCTCCACACGGTAACCAAGAGAGGGTTGAATAAGCTACTGACTCTAGAAGGATTAAGAGGTGGAGTCTATAGTGCGAAGATACTCCCGTCTGGCGTGGCTGGTGGGACGCCTCAGACCCTTCCGTTGATTGCGGTCGTCGTTCAGGGTCCATCTTCAGAGCTCAGTGGATCTTCGAATGGGGAAGAGGCATATTCAGTCGACGGGGCGTCTGTGAAGCCAACAGAAAGTATTCGAGGCTCTCCCAAGCATCCTGGACGCTTACCTTACGAACCTGACGATCCGGAGTATTATCAGACGACAGTTGAAGTCTACTCGCTAGCTACCAAGCAGCATGTAGCGACCCTACTTACTCTCCCCAAGATTCGCCTTCCGATTCCAAGTGCAAGCTCTCTATTCAAGCCTCCCACAGCGGTTGGAGCTTTAACCATACGCGCCGATGGCTCATATGTCGTGGTTGCATCTGGCAACACCGGAGAGACATGGTTGTTTCGAGTAAAACCATCCAAGTCAAATCCGTTCGGCGACTTCAGGTGCATCGGTAAGGTATGGACAGCAGTACAACATGGAGTATGTGTCGATTCTCCTGAAGCGAACGGGAGTGCCGATGGCGATTGGTACACCACTGATCCCGTGGAACGAAAACAATACAAGGCATCTATCTTGTCCCTGAATGGGAGGTGGCTTGCTTATTGTCCATCTGCTCCATCATCTCAGACATCTCTGAGGGCTAAAGTGCCAGGCCTTCCTCCACATGCGAAGGTCCCAGGACTCAACGCTCAGGCGCCACCCCATCTCCCTTCGATAAACTGTACGGTCGAGACACCAGGAGGCGAGAGCATGGTCAAGCAGATGATGCAAGCTGGGACGCAGGCACTGATTGAGGGGACGACATATATTGGAAAACAGATCGGGAGACAGGGTGCACAGGTTTGGAACAATTATTGGAACAAGCCAACACAACCACAACCAATACCTGGCGGCACACCTTTTCAAAACCATGCCACAGTCCATCAATTTCCGCCAACGCATGGAGCCCAACTATCACCTGCTATCAAAGACCCAAGCCTAGTCTCTATCTTAGACTTGGATTATCTGTCACGTCACGCAGCTTTCTCGGCTTCTCCACACCCGCTTTCTACATTCAAGATTCCGCACGGGTGTAGCTTCTTGTCCTTCGCTCCTAGTGGCCTTGCGCTATTCACTGCGAGCAGCAAGGGCGACATACAATCTGTCTGGGATCTTATGCGTATGCAGTACGCCAGGTCCTCCTTTTTGAAAAGCTCTTTCCAGGGTGCAGACAATCGAGGACCTCACGTCAGGCAAATTGCCCAGTTTTCACGTATGACAATCGCTAGGATAGTCGACGTGGTCTGGTCTTCACCACATGGAGAACGTGCTGCTATGGTCACTGAACCTGGAACGGTTCATGTGCTTGATCTTCCAGCAAGTGCGTTTACCTGGCCCCCGCCGCGGCGAAGACCTTCTCCTCAGAAGCCAGCTGAATCAAATGGTGAATCTACCTCCTCGGTCTTTACAGCTGCGGGTGTAGCAACAAGCGCAGTGAGCTCTCTATGGACGGCAGCTCGTCCGCTTGTTCGTGCTCGACGCCAAAGTGCTGCTGGCATGTCTGCGAAGACTGTTACAGCACAAGCTGGTCATGGGACACAAGCTTTAGCTGCTGGAATTAGTCGCTCCGTCGGTGCTGCTACGGGTAGAGTAAATGAGATTCGTAAAGGTGGAAGTGGCAGGATACATCTCCCTCGCAGTTCGACCATTCCGAGCAAGTCTTGCATTTTGTTGCTCAGCCATAAGCGAAATGACTCTATCATTGTTGTTGGCGGAGGGATCGTCAAATTTTATACGATTAAAAATAGAAGAGAGAATCGTCCGGCAGACAAGCAAAAGGCTGCTCGTGGCGCCAATTATATCGAGTTTCGTCTTCCTTCATTACCAGATTTCAGAGCAGTCCTTGATGATATCAGAGACATCAGCCCGATCGGAGATTTGGGAGTCAACAAAGGTCAGGCTCTGGGACAACAATGGAACACACGGACGGTAGCAGCGGAAGAGAATCAAGCAAGCGAATCCTCGATTCCGCAGGCTGAGATCGAGTCGAACGCACCATACCAACCCTTTCATACAGATCGACGCGTTGGCCTGTTTATCTATGCATCACAAGATGCAGGGTCTCCCTCGGTATCCGCCCTTCTTGCACCACAAGTTGCTAAACAAGCAGGCCGTAGCAACAGTACTCTTTCTAAGTCACCTTGGCCTTTTGGGTGTGCAATCAAGACGATCAAGCTTGATGTAGGACCCGCACACAGTCCTGAAGATGACTTGGAAGGTCCAGTCAATTCTCGTGCTTTACCGACATCAGCAATTGAAAGAATATTGATGGTCAAGGATAACAACGAGGAGATGGAACAAATCGTGATCACCACGCGACGTCGAAAGGGTACTGCTAGGCCCGGCGCCGAAGCGACCGGTACAGAAGAAGAAGGCTTTTTTGAGGACGACTGCGAAGTCCTTGACTTTGCGAGCCAAAGAGTATGAGCTGTTGACCACGCTGTACATACCGTCAACCAGACGGCTAGATGGAGATGAGGGACGAACGTTGCATACATAACTAGATCTTTTTTGCCCGGCTCCTGTTCATATACCGAAGAGGGTATTGCTTTGACCTCTTTCAACCCGGGTTATTGCGTTTTTCGTTTTTGGGCTGGTATCGAGATATTGATAGCCTTCATCCATACTTAAATACATTTTATGCTTTTCATGGATATGGTGTTTTGTTGGGGTTTGGATAGATGGTGTTTTTGGGTGGAATGGATGCTGTGGCTTTGGGTACAAGAGGGAAGGGATTGGGATTACATCGCATGCGTATTTGTTGAGAGATACCATACTATCGAATAACAGGAGATGAATAGCATTACCAAATTTGTCTTTAGATTTGAGTTTTAATGTTGACTTGATGCATTTTCTTACCCTCTTACATAATTACGATCTAATCTTATTAAGACCGCTACTTCGCCCATTCCCTATACTAAATCATTTTCATTCAAATGTGCAAGTAAATTCCAGAGTCATCCGAACCCGAGAACAAAAAGCCAAGAGCCGGGCAGATCACGATGTGATGTTTCTTGTTTCGTTTCGTGTTTGAAGCTTTAACAGAATTAGGGTTTTAAGGTTAAATGCGCGAAATGCGTCAAAAGAATTTTATGTGGTTTAAGCTTAAATCTGCATGCGTGGGGGGCGGAAAGATGGGGGGTTCGTGATGTTAAACACGTCGGACAACTCATTTGATCTTGATAAAGATGTTTTGGAGAACTCTAGGGTCGTAGATTGGTGGGGAATTATACGAGGATACTGTTTTGAGGATTAGGTTGTTGGATTGAGGGTTGACGTTGGATTTGGGGGCGAGGCTTGGTGTGTCACGGGGGTTGATGGGGGGTGACGAAGGTCACTGGGTCAAAAGTCTTGGAGCGTGACTGTACGTTTAAGATTTAAGTTTTAGGTTTTAAGATTAATTTTAAACTTGTTTGTTTGCGATGTGCAACAAAATAAATTGTGAAGTAGATTTTAATGTTGTGAGTTAGGAGTAAGGGTTGAGAATGGGGTTTTCAGAGGGTGCTAGTATAAATGTGTAGGTGATCGTAGAGATGACGAGAGCAGCGACGGCGGCACTTTTTGAAATTGACAAAGGAAGTTTGAGAAAGTCGTCGGTGCTATTCTTGATGACTAGCGGTAGACTCACTCTCCAATTCATTTATCATTTACTAGCATCGACAATACTCGAGTACACATAAATCCATAGTAAACAAAACTCAAATCCCAAACCTAGAAATCTCGATAGATTTTCGTCGCACTTACCAAATAACGTATCATTATCAAACTCAAAATCAGATAAATAAATCTCTTTGCGATTTCCAACATAATCTATATATTTTAGTTCTTTTACATTTTCTGGGGATATCGAAGTAAAGTGTGGGCATACGCAACTTTTGAGTTTCGTCAGCAACAGTAGTGACCTGATTTACAACATGAAACAGTCTCTCACAAGATACCTGTTTTGAAAATTTGCGATGTGCAACAAATCAATCGTATCTAGAGCCTTTTGAGATAGGATTCTGGGGTTTCGAGGTCATAGTCCCAGGGAGGGCTGTGGCTTGAGTGTCTCCAGCTGACTATCAATACCCGACTTGTTCGAGCGCTGAACAGTACTTTTGAAACTAATAAAACACTTTCTTGGAAATACCTGTTTTTGGAATTTGCGATGTGCAACGAAATGGATTAAGCAAGTCACTCGGTAGATGCTGTATCATACCTTTGACGTGCATGACTACAGATTCAGGGTCCAGCGGGTGGCTTTTCGACATATTTAGCACCAAACCACTCATCAACGCATGATTCTCTTAGAAGACTCCAAATATTTCCCTTCAAACGTAAACCCCTTCCAGAAACAGCTCATCTGCTGAGAAATTTTAAAAAACAGCTGATCAGGGCCGCCACCAGGTCCGGGATGGCACCACTCGCTAAGACATTCGCGAATATACAGGTTTTTGGGGATTGCGAGGTGCAACAAGAATTTTTTGATCTGGAGGCAGTCACCTCCAAAAGTCAGAGCCCCAAATCTAAACTTGACCGGCGCAACGGTATATTTGTGTACCAATACTTTTTTCTACCCAAGCCCTGAATGCACTTTTACAAGACATTTTCGAATTTCCAGTCGATCAAATTCACCTCTTGAGGCTGGGAGATCCCCTTCTTTGTCCGCATCCAGACCTGTGCGGACGGGTTCTCAGCGGCGGACGTGGAGGCAGCTTATGTTACCATTGATCTCCGATTTTGGGGCAGATCCTTCATTCGGCTCATTTTTGGGTGATGAGTTGGAAGAAGGAGTGCATCCAATCCAGCATCCTTCTCTCTCCCCAAAAGTTCCAGATTCGACGTTGAGCAGGTCTATACTCTTTCCACCATGAAACAGCTCAAGCAACGACCACCAGCATAGCAGATTAGATAACTATCATCATCATCATAACCACCATAGCACACCCACCAGGCAAACATCACGGAAATATATTCTCAGTACAGATTATTGTAGTGATGGGAAGAGGAATAGTAGAGTCACCAGTCTCATCCTGCTCTTCCGTCAAGCTTTTTACTAAAAGCTTAGCACATCAAATGTCTCTATTCTTGATACGTCACGGTTCATCCAACCGCTCCTGCGTAGATGCAGGTACGTAGCATAATCTCTGGCTGAGCATTTTCAGAAGCGAGGAGGATTAAGCGCCACGATATAGACGACACGGCCATCAGCAATAACGATAAAGCTTAACAATACGTAGGATTGCGTAGGATTTAACTCAAATATAGATAAACTCATGTGACTACTTTCTGTAGTAGGAACAAGAGTTCGAGATCATTCCGTCGTATGATGTATAGAATATCCTGACTTGACGCAAAGCAATACAAGATCTTCGTGAAGGCACAGCGAGCATCTTCATAACATGATCAAAGTTACGTCAAGCACAATATGAAGAATTTTGGATCGAATTGTTTACATATATAATGACTTGTTCTGTATTTCCTGAAAGCTACTATTCAGCAACAATCAACTTCCTATTTCATTCTTTCGCTATACACTTCACTTTCATTTCAGCATAAACAACTCTCAGATTATATTCTCATATTACATTCAACAATAAACAGACATGCATCTTGCAACTGGTTTTGCAACCATCGCGGCAATCGCGCCTCTCCTCCTTCCTCATGTCCTAGCCCTCCCATCCCCAAATCCCCAACCAGATTTTTTCGGCGACATCAAAAACACATGGGACAAAATTACAGGACAAGAGCACCAATCCAATGCGGGAAACACCGCCGAGCAGAATTTGGCCGGGAATGCCACTCTTCTCTCCCAGAGTTTCGGGGCTCTCTTGGACGGAGATCCATCCAACAATGTAGAGGCGATAATCGCACTGGCGAAATCCGGCGAAGACTGGTTCCAGAACATCCAAAGCCATGCCGATGAGATCGCAGCACACATCCCGAATCCAGCAGAGGATGTGAGGAAGGCTAAACAAGCGCTTAAAGACGTCGTGGAGGATATCAAGAATGAGTTCAAGGAGATCAAAGAGGATCTTAAGCATCCAGCGAAGCTGGTCGGAGATCTGCTCGCTAAGATTCGTGCTGCTTCGGCGAAGATGGCTTGTAAATTGTAAGTCAATACAGCGTGACGTTGTTCATTTTGACTTTTCACAAAACTAATACGTTGGCGCAGACAAAATGATGTGTTTGCATCCATCAATACTTTAATTACGGAGTCGAACAATCAAAATAAGGATAACCCGGTCGTGAAACCTATTCCTCAGATACAGATTTCCAAGGACGTGCAGGACGACTTGGGACTTGATATGTCTAAATGTACTGTTAATGCCGCTCCTGGGAATCCTACACCTACTCCTGCACCTGCTCCTGTACCTACTTCTCCACCAACTGTTTAGGTTGATGATGTTTCGATGAGTGGTTCAACAGGGATATAGAGTGTTATGGGTAAATTGGTTGAGCGTGCGATTTGTTGGCAATATTGGGATATTTGAATGCTTGGTCAGGATAGGTAGGTGTATTAGGAGGTTTTTCAGCATTAGTATCCGTTTTTTTTTTTCAATGCATAGAAGTCGAATTAGTTGCCTCTTATGTTTTTTGAGCCCGTGAATCGTAATCTTATAAATAGAATTTATCACAACCTATAACTCAAACGAGACACGGAAAAAATGGGGTGCGAAAGTTGCACATCATATCACATTCCTTTCTTCCAGAAAGCAGGTAGTGTTAGCGTGGTTTCTTAAAATCCAATTGCCCTCTCGAGTAGACGTCACATCAAGCTGAAAACAGTAGAGTAAATGACCAGATTTCTCGTCAGTAAAACAATATACTTGCATAACTCGTCCATGGTCCGAAATTTACTTCGCGGACTATGTCATCACTCGATGTGTCAATGTAATGGACCCACTAACTCGAGCTTTAAACACGCTCTAAGGTTTTGATTTAGCGAAGTGGGTGTGTTATACCTTACAAACCTATAGATAGGTTGAGCACGTTTGGCACATAGCAATTATCCACCACTACGTGTAAAATGAACACTCCATAGCAAGCTCCTATTAGTAACATGTAGGTCATTCTCAAGTAGCGAGCTACAGCACACCCTTTGGACTCTTACCATAAAATAATTCTTGGCAACACGAGTCTAACTTCTTGAAAAGCGTCCTCGGGTACTGTACACAAGACAAAATGTAACATTTCACCTCGCGTAACCATAACCCCTTTCTTCAGAGCCTAGACGCAAAAAGAGTGAACACCATGGTCGAGCGACCAGAAAGGTTACAAAGCCACTTTCCGACTATAGATGAAACGGCTTCTCCATCCTACCTCTACGTTCTACGCGGCCTATTACTTAGTTACTACTCGCTTTCCTTAGCCCCGTCAGCCCGTATACCTCTAGCTCAACTTCCCACACATACGTCGTAGCAGTAACACTCGGGCACGTAGACTTTAATCGTATCTTTCCCTAACAAATAAGCAGCGAGTCTCTGTTAACAGCTCGTTCAAGATCGCGACTGTGGGTTTACATCCTTAGTCTCGTCGTGATATACCTCACAAGTCCGCCATTCGATCCCTCATGATACAGAGTAAAAGAAAAAGGGGAAATAAGTAATCAACAGCAAATATCCTCCACCACCCTTTTAGTATCCGTAATTTTCTCTAACCTGAGGCGGAATGGAAAGCGACTACTCGGTGAAAGGTCACTACAAGTAGTTTGGTACAGCGCAGAGATCTTATTGACGACTTATCATATCCCCATCCCTATCTCCATGGCGGCAAACGAATATGAAACACCAACCACGAACGATCCTAGAAAGATATAGATATAAAGATAAAAAGTCGCTGGTGTGAGCTCGCGAGTTCGATACCCGAAGGGACAACCCCGCAGCGCGCCCGTCCGCGTTCAGGCAATAGCATACGCTCTCATGTTTCCGTGATAGGAGGGGGCTTGATATTAGGTTAAAGTTATGGGATGGATAGTGTATGTTTTTATATCTGAAGTATATAATCTAGTCTAGGAAACACCTTCCTGTCATAGAACCTCAAGGAGTAACGATGCCCAAACGCCCTACCTCCAGGTTTCAGGACCTGACCCAACCACCCTCACAATCCCCTTCAACCCAAACCCCAGACGTCACAATCAAATCTCCAACACAATAATCTACGTTCCGAACAAATTCTACGTAATCCCGTATATCCCACAACCCAAGTATAAACGCGTCTACCCCCCAAGCTCATAAACCCCATTCACATTCCCACAATATCAGCAAAACCAAACTCACAAGTACACTCTAACGCTTTCTTTTCCAAGGAGTCAGAACTAACAGGATGGTATCGAGGCGAACAAGCAAGTAACCTTCTCAGTTATAAGGTGTCAAAGTCCGAGATACATATTACCAAAAAAGGCCGAGATACATGAGCTGGGACGTCTAGGCCAAGCTATTACCACCGTATTTACAGTTCACAGCTACCGATATACTTCGAATCTCGGCTACGACAACGAATGAGAGATGCTTAGGCGAGATGGGAAAGCGTTTACTATAGGTTGTGAGTGTAGGGATTGAGGTTATGTATGGAGTTTAATACCTACCTACCTAGGTAGCTAGCAATCATACGGGGCAAAAAAAACAAAGGTTTTATATGTCACGATCATTTCCCATTGCCTCTCGATTTCAAAGGTAAAGGTTGATTATTACAGACAATTAAATACGTATAGGAGATATAACCCAAAAACAAAAAAAAAATTCGTTTCCTTTGGGGATATCATTCAGTCGTCTAGCCCCCTTTCTCCGTGTATTGTCCCTTCGTTTCCTTTCCTTGCATTCCTTTCCCTTCGGTATCTTCCACCTACGACTCCTTCTGCCCACTCCCATCCGCCCTCTCAATCGCCTCGCCCGCCTCCCGCTTACACCTCTCACACATACAAAACCCACCCAGACTGCCCTTCGCCCACTCGCGGCGCTCCTTGACACCCAGCTCCACATCCGTGTAATGGTTCAGGATTTCCTCACCCTTTTTAACCCCGCCCTTCGACCCATCAATCCTCTTCTCACGACACCAGAAGCGCATGCGCGCACCCCACTCCCACTGCACGTTCGGATCACAATCATGGTTCGCGAGACACCAGAGCGGATGAACGGCCGCGACTTCGGGGTGACCCGTTCGATGGTTGACGCGTGCCGAGGCGGTGCCGCGGAACTTGGCGTAGAGGGTGTTGAAGACCCATAAATCGTAGTGGTCTAGATTTTGGAAAATGTCGATGTCCATTTTCTCGAGAAGGTGGAGCGGGCCGGCAATGTTAGAGGAGAAAGAGAAGGGGAGCGTCCAGATGGGAGGGGGTTCTGAGTCGGGGGGTAGCGGGATGGCGTTTTGAGAGCTGGGGAGGAAGTCGCCCCAAATGTATTTTACTTCGGTAAGGTCGAGGGGATGGGTTTCTTGAGTCACTGCCATGGCGAGAGCGCGGCCTAGAAGAAGAAGGTAGAGTGCGAATGGTTTTTCTTTTGGGTCGGGGTCTTTGGCTACGGTGTCGATGTCTTTTTCGCAGACGGCGGGGTGGTAGGAAGCTTGTGCTCGCTCGAAACAATCGGAATTGCAGAACATGATATCGTCGCAGTCAGGACATGCTACGACCTCGCTATCTACCGTCAGAGGTGGAAGTGCTGAGCTACACGCGTCGCATAGAGCGTCTTTCAGTACGTTATTGGCAGCAAGAAGTGAGAATTCATCCAGGATTTCCTCTCCAGGTTCTATATCTTCTTTGGCGAACAATCCAAGCTGGCTCATGGTAGGTGTTGTGCCATAATTGTCGCTATTATTATAATTGTGGAAAAGAATTGGCAATTCCGTCACTTTAGCTTCACACTTTGGTGCGCATTTTGCCAATTCCTTGTTGAGAAAGGCCAGCGTCTCTGCTGAGTATCGATCTGGCTCGTGGTCGTTCCATGGGTATATCTCTCTCCTCACCAGTCCTTGATCAGGGAGCTGGCTGTAATCCAATTCTTTAACCTTTAACCTCCTCTTGGCGATCAATTGTATGTATTCCTTTGCTTGTTCCAGTTCCTCGTCTCCTGGGTTGACGGTCAAGCCTCGCTGGCAGAAATCGTATGAGCTCTTCAGACATCCGCAGAGTAGGAGGCTTATCGAGAGGTTTCGGTAGCATCGTAACGAGGCGTTTTTCAAAACTTTCTCCATCCTGACTTCCATCACATTTCCCTCTCCGTCCAGCTCTCCATTTGCCACGCCATTGGAAACACCATTCGATTGCTGCTTCGCAACCGTGAGCTTGGGATCTGGATTGAGATCGACTCGCTCGACCTGGCTCACCAACTGGTGAACACCCCCCTTCGATCTCAGCACGGCAGGCAACTGCCATGTTCCTCCTGGACCGTCCGCACACCACTCCTGTAAAGCCTCGGTGGCCTGCTCGTGGTACTCGAACTCCTCGGTCGCACACTCATCATGAAGAAGAAGGGCGCGATAGGCGTCGCCCGCACTCAGGTCCGGATAGCCCAGCTCGCTGTATATCTGGGCTCGTTCGAGGTATAGAATCAAATCGTAAGGATGCGATCTCAGTTCTGCCGTGAGGGTCTCTCGGCGCTCGAGGTAGTACGGAGTGTTGTCCTCCTCGTCACTGCTGTCCATAATGATGCGGGCGGCTTGAACATAGTCGGCTGGGCAAAACTTCGTTCAAGGGAAGCTCGTTACATTGTGGAATATTTAAATTTTTCGAAGGAAAGGCGGCGGAGGCCTGCCCCGCTGCTGGTTTTCTCACACCCCTCGTCTAAGGCAAAGGGTTCACCCCGATTCCTCCATTAGTGGCGTGGCATCTTGTGCCTGGGCTGGGGGCCGGGGAAAGCGTGCAACGAACAGAGGCCAACCAGATGACGGAGCAAATCCTCCGGGCGAACCCGAGTACGGATGGGATCCAGTAGGGTCCAGTAGGGTCCAGAAAGGGTCCAGAAACCTGGAAGATGGGCAAGAAAAACACCGTTCTGCAACTGCTGCTGCTGCACAAACTACTCAGATATTGACCATGACCGGGACGCGCGGGAGAGGCTATACCAAGGCCTGTTTCATGTCCCAAGGGTCTTTTCAGGGTCCAAAACCCTGCAGAAATCCTGTCCTCTGTGTCATTATTCCGGAGCAGCCTCGCACTGTGAGCTCTTTTCCTCGCTGCTGGAGTCACATCTGGACCCCTCGTCCAGACCCCCTAACCCTCCCCCCTCCCCCCTCCTGCACCCAGCTGCACCGTGCAGTCAAAACGACGTCGCCTTGCTGTACAGATGAGTAAGTGGCTTCGCGGCTGTCAACACTGTCATGTCGTCGATCCACCAAAATGGCTAATGACTGCGTCGATCGGTCGTCTTATCTGGCGCGTGATCGTGGGCCATGGGCACATCCGTCGGTCCTGGCATCTCAAAAGTTACAATGATGTCACCGTGCCGGCCACATTTATGGCATCCGCAATTCCCTCGAAAGATGACCTGTAGATGACCTGTTTGTGATGTCGACGCCAAAGGGGTGGGGGCCAAATCCCAAGTATCATCATGCTCATCAAAGGCCAAGTATCACGCTCATCGACGGCCATGATGTGCCTTGAATGTATGAATGCCACCTGCAAGCCAGCGATGGTGGTTGTGTCTAATATATTCTCTATGTCGTACGCATCGACCAAGGACATGGCATGTCATGCATATGTTTATCATTCTATTTCTCCGCGGGCCTCTAGTCTATCCAGCTTCCAAGTACTTACCCGCTCAAATCGCTCAGCTTATCCACGTAGTAGTGAGGCACCACCGGTGCATCCTCAACCTCCCACTGTTCTTTTCTGCTAACACCAGTCAGGACCGCCAGAGTACCTCCCAGTTTGCCCTCGAGTCCAAATTGAATATCGGTATCTAGTCGATCACCCACCATGCAAGCCTTCTTCCGATCAAAATGAAATTTGCCTTCGATGGAATCCATCATCGCCTGACTGGGTTTGCCGAGCGCAATCGGTTGCTGTCCAGTCATGTTGATCAGAGGAACCGATATCGAGCCCGCTCCGGGAAAGAAGGTTTTGGCAGATGGCAGAGTGCTGTCGAGGTTGGTTGCCAGGAATTTCGCTCCCCGAGCAAGATATTGATATCCCAGAGAGAGTTTCAAATAGTTGATGTGGAAATCCAATCCTGCCAACACGATGCCCACATTCTCATCAAGCATGGAGCCATTGGCAATATTGGTATAATCTTCTGGTGTTATATCCCTTCTCAAAGCTGGATCGGTACCTCCAAGGAACTCTACGCCTTCCGAGCGCAATTCAGTCTCGATTCCGGCTTCTCCAATCACAAATACCTTGTTCTTAGGCGCTGGGAGCTTCATGATTCTCGAAATATAGATGGCAGAGGAGTATGCGGATGCGAAGATTTCGTCGACATTGCTCGGGATGCCCATTGATGTAAGCTTCTTCAGGTAATCGGCGCGAGACTTCGTAGAGTTGTTGGTGACGAAGATGGTCTTTTTCCCTACTCATTGTTATTCAAATCCCACCTTCACAGCAGCTGCCCCAACCTCTGGATCTTAACAATTCCAAGGTCTCTACTGTTCCCGGAAATAGATGGTCACCAGACCATAGGACTCCTAGTTTCATCAGCATACACTACTTCAAGCAGCAAAACTCATGTACCATCGCAATCAAACAGGAACACCTGAATCGCTCATCAGTGATCAGCCAGAAGATAGAGACGGTCTGGGACTGACTCAACGCACGTCGAATTGGTTGATGAATTCATCAATGGCAGCTTTGTCGCCAGTGAGATGTTTGGGTAATGGTGCCATGGTGATGCTCTTTTGGCGGTTGAGCTTGCGACGGTGATGGTGTTTGGATGAGGAATCTAGCACTTTGGTGGGGTGCTTGCCATGAACTCGGATGAGGCCGTATCGGAGGGGCCGTTCAAGCTAAGTGCAGCCTCAGGTATCTAATGGATCTCTGTCACTTTTCATGCGACACACCTCAACAGACATCTGCAATAATTATGGCGATATTGAAGTTGACAATAACATTCGATCACTCTCTTTCTGCTGACAGCAGGCTTAGGCATAAGAAATCCCTTCCGAATCTTCTAACTGAAGCGACCTCACGAAGTTACAGGCTTGGCGGCGTTGCATTTCTCGACTAGATCATCACCCTCCCAATAATGGCTGAACAGGTGGCCGATATTTGCATACGGCAGGACATCCGGTAACCAAGCATACAGGGAAACTCTTGTTCCGGCCGAGCCGAGTTGTACAGGAATCGAAATCGTTCACTCTCTCCGCGGCGTCAATCCTATTCGCTTGGTTCTTGACTACATTACTCTCAGATACGCCAAAAATATCAAACCTATTTTGACTGTATCACGAACAACACAATATGGGCATAGCCTGAGTTGACACCTATATCTCGGCTGGCTGAACCACCAAGGGTGATATGAATAGATGGATACGCCTGGCGATCTATAAGAGTTGTCTGATAGATATACACACATCATATCCCAACCGGATGATACTTGCGTGATTGGCGGTTGCATCTCAATATCATCCCGCAAATGTCTTCTTTGGTCAAAGTATTAGTTGGCACAGCGTGGGGAGCATAGTAAATCTAAAACAAATCACCAATACGAGGTATGAGAATGGCGTGGATCGTCTTAGTGTGGTTGCTCAGCTTGATACTAATTCTTGTGTCCACTGTTTGTGGTTGTACAAACTATAAGCTGAGTAGCATAAGGTGAGTATAATATGCTGACCTGATATATGTTTGATCGTTCCAAGTTTCGACTCCAAGCCTTGCTATTATTGTTAGTTGCCTACTCGAGTAGGTACTCTGTCTGTTTGTTTCAACTATGCTGTCGTCATCTCTACTCCACTCTGTTTAGGAGGTACATCCGATTCTCTACAACTCTTTGTGATTCGAAAAAGTCCTAGTAACATCACCGCTACAAAACTTTGCTCTATTCTACGACTCATGGAACCTCACACCATACATCTCGGCATAAACCTACTGAATCGTAGCAGCAGCTACTAACTTATGTCTACAGCTTTTGCTGACTAGAGAGGTATGCAACTATTTGTACTTGGTTACTCGTACCACTCCCGAGCTCATTCGTCTACCTTATCGCCGCAGCGTCATCTTCCACAAGCCAAACAGCCCCATCCAACCCGGGAAAGACCCGCTTCAATTTCGGTAGCAAGTGGGCAAAGGCCTTACAAACTTCCATCTACTTCGCGCCAAATTAATGAACCACAACTTCTGCTTCTTATCTCTGCTTCCAATTCTCCTCTCATCCGTCGCATACTTCTTCTACCTCTTCGTGCCTGAATCTGACATCCCACTTCGTTACCAGATTCCCAGTTATCGGGCAGCTATCGATAGCCGCAATCACCCCACCATCCCACCACCAATCTCCAGCGCCAATTCTCCATCATCAACAGAAACATTCTCGCGCAACAAACCGATCGCAAATATGGGTGGACAACCAAACCTTCTCGCCTTCCCAGACGTTGACAAGCTCGCGCCAACCTTGAGAACCTACATCCTCCAAGCCCAAACCGCAGGCCTCCACCGTCATGATTCCTTCAAAGTCGCAGTGTCCGGCGGCTCCCTCCCCAAAACCCTCGCAAAAGCTCTTTTAGCCCCAGCAACATCGGCGGAAGAAAAGCTACAATTCGACAAATGGGAGATCTTCTTCGCAGACGAACGCGCCGTTCCTCTCGACCATGAAGATTCGAATTACTGCCTCCTCAAAGCCGAACTCCTCGATAAAATCCCCGCCGAGCTGGGCCAGCCGAAAGTCCACACCATCAACACGGATCTCCTGGACGACGTCCAGGAAATGGCAGACCAGTACGAGAAACTCCTCGTCGAATCCTTCGCCGCCAGAGATAGCGTCAAACTCCCCATCTTCGACCTCCTACTTTTGGGATGCGGTCCAGACGGTCACACATGCAGTCTCTTCCCCGGCCACGAACTGCTCCGCGAGACAGACTGCTGGGTCGCGCCGATCGAGGACTCACCCAAGCCGCCCGCGAAACGCATCACTCTCACGCTCCCCGTCGTCACGCACGGCGTCAAGATCGCCTTCGTCGCGACCGGCGGCGGCAAGAAGGAGATTATGAAACAGATCTTTGAGGGCGGTGGTGGGCTGCCATGCACGCTCGTCAACGAGGGCGGTCTCGATCGCGTCACCTGGTTCACGGACTCGCCTGCTGTGGAGGGCGTTAGTTTTCCGCGTAGGGGAAGTTTGTAGATTGAAGGAGGGAAAGAGGGGGTTAGAATAGAACGCGGACGTATTCGTCGATGCGCATTGGAGTATGGGATCTGATTGTTTTTGATTTTGATATCTAAAAGGCAAATGGACGGGAATGGATGGATATCTTTTTTCGCGCCGAGGCGCGTTGCGTGCGAGATGGGAAATAGATGGATCGGTATAGGTAGTTTAGAATCTTCTCATGAAAATGTCAAGGCAAATTTACATTACACCACCCCCCTTATTTCCAACGACCGTGATTCCCTTCTTCCCAAACACCAAAATAATTTTCTTTTTCGTACATCGTGAGGCATGCAGACCTGGTATTTACTTGTCTCCGGTAGCGTAGCGGGGGCCATTGATGTATTCTATTTTTAACCCGTCTATGGGTGGTAAGATTTGCTATCTGAGTGTGATTCTGTCGTATGTTTGATTGTAGGTTTTATACGTCGTTCATGGTGTTTTTATACTGTGGCTCGTATTGTTCGGCGCGCAGTTGCTGGGGAAGTATATGTGGATAGACGGGAGTATACTTAGGGGAGAGGGGTGGTGGGATATTGGATTTGATGGGTAGTGGGTAAGGAGATGTTGTAGTTGAGTATTTTGTGTAAAGGACTTGGTGTATGGCAGGAGATGATTCTTCTCTCCGAATAAGTAGCCTGCTAGAATAGTGAAATCAGTAGTATAATGATAAACCTATTTCTCACTTCGCGATATGCGATAATACTACCGTTCCTACGTACATGCCGATTAATACGGGATTTAATATATATATAATCTCCTAACATACAGCTTTCGGTTATCCTCGATGTGTAACAAACTACCATACACAACAACCTCACTAATTCCCTTACAACAGCTTTCCGTCATCCTCGATATGCAACAACCCCGCAATTGCACCTCATGATATTTACAATATCACCAGGCCGTTCAGAATCGCTCGACACGTCGCCTAAACAGGTAGCCCTTCCAACACAGCAAAGAGCAACCAGAAACCATTGTAAGATTCCCCGACACAAGAAGTCTGGGAGGGCACGGCAAGTTCTGGCTACGATAATTGGGATCCGATTCTACGAGACAGGTGCGCAAGATAAGATTGGTCTTTTTGAAAATATGTATTTATCTAAATACTCTCGAAAGATGACGATTGTAGAGATAATAAATGTGTTTATTTAGTTTACGTATAGTGGATGCGAAAAATGGGGGATTTAAGAAAAGTTAGTAATTACTATAGTTGTTGAAAATATAAGGGTAGTTAGGATTAGAACTTTTATAGATAGTACTTTAGGTAAGGTCTTAAGGGTTAATGTCGAGTAACTAAAAAAAATAAAAATTAGACATTTGTTTATAAGAGAGAAGTTATTTTCGTTAGGATATTATGTCTATAAAAATCTATAGAAACTAGTTATCTAGTGTATTTCATCGTACTAATCTACTACTTAAAACCCCCTTATACTATTATCAGCACGCTAGTATCTCGCGGCGGGTATTACAATCATAGCGATCCCAGGATGTAGGTAAGAGAAAATGTTGTTTAGAATTTCATCTTTCGTCTATTTCTAGTTCTTTCTACGATGTAACTCGGAGACGTATATCCAAACGGTATATCTTATATAAATAAGCATCGGAAGATCTTGATTACTTGTGGATTTTGTGCGGAACGTGTAGGGTCACATTCCATGTTCTTCGGTATAGTGGCGGGGATGTCCGGTTTTTATAATACAAGACAGGAAGGGAACGGGTTTGGTTATTTAATTAACGGGGCGCGAAGTCGTTGTTTAGGGGATTTCTCGAGGGGGGTTGTGTACGTTTGGAGAGTTTGTGTCGTATGTGGTTTAGAGAACGTAGGAATCTGAGATTATGATATATAGAATATTTGTAATAGGACTCGGGGGTAACAAATGTGTTTTTATAGTAGTTTGAAGCTTATCTTTAACACAGTCCTTACTGAAAGTACTGTTTCATGTTATACCTCAATATTCACCACCTGTATATTTTACAGTTCGGAATATCAAGACGAGTAGGATGTTGTGTAAACTATCGATTAAGTATCTCGAAGGTTTTGCGAAGTCGAAATGCATCTTACTCACTTTAATTATCTACAAATTAACCTTCGCCAATTTGTTATCACCCGAAAAAGAAGATATCCTTATACTTCTCTTAACCAAATTCATTTCTAATAGTAACATCACGAGCTCATCGTCTTTAAAACGACACCTAACACATAGACTGAAAATTTAATTTCGTTTAGTAAAATCCTGAGTTGGGATATAGACTTCCAGCTCACAATTAACTCATTTTTATATTAAAGCCCCTTGTGTGATTGTAGAGTTACCCTATATTGTAATCAAGATAATCCCATTTACGTATTACTTAAATTAAATCCACACATATCACAAGCCAGACACCTAAAACCGTACGTGGAAGTTTCGCAGTATATACCTCGCACAGCTGAATCATTTGTTACTCAGAAAGGACTGAAACACCCCAAAGCAGTCATAGTATTCCTACAGTAACTCCCAACTTCCCGCCCACAAACACCTGGCTGAAAGTATTATTTATACACTCTCGCACAGAGCACTCTTTTCGCAATCCTTATTCTCTTAGGTGATTTTACCAACACATGTTACATCAATCGGTATCCCCCACTTCCCCTAACCTTAACCTCACGTCCAAGCCACGCTCTACCACCCAGTCCCCAATATCCCCGGTTGCGAAAGCTCACTTATTCACCTACCGCTCTTTGAAACCAGTATCTTGTAGTGTATTCGATATTGCAAGAACCTGCCGTAGTATGAGCAATGGTAGCTCAACGCGCTATGGACTATACTATGCGAAGATCATTCTGTGGTTATGGGGTGGGAGGGAATGGTTTGTTACGTGGATGAGGGGGCGAAGCGTGTTGTTGTGGGATTCTCTGGGGAGGGGGGGAGTGTTACGTTGGGGGGATTCGAATTTTGGATATGAGGGGTTTTTGTTGTGTGTGTGTCTGTGTCAGTAAAGTGATCTTCTGCTTTTGGATTGCGCGTGGAAGTAGTGAGGTTGTTAGATGGGGAGATTTCAAAAGTTACTGTTGGTATTAGAAATCAAGTATAAATTGAGTTGTAGAATAAAAGGACCTTCGTGGGAGTAATTCGGAGGTCTAGCATCGGTGAGCAAGGTACTCGAGATTGCAATGATCAGGATAAAGTGAAGTGTTGTTGTGGCTCACAATTGATGTTCCTCACGATAGGCGAGTTGGTGGCTGTATCTCTCCCACAGGATGGGAGTCGCGGCACGGTTGTTTGGTACGACATGTATGACTCTGTACACAGTATGGAGTATATTAAATCTCAAAAACACAGATCAAAGCGCCGAAAGGCCAGAGTAAGTGTTGTTGTGCTCGTGCACGTGACGAAAATATTGGCCCGGATCGAAGTTTGTTTTCGTCGCTTCCTATTGTTTCGCTTTTCCATTCAACACATCATGAATCAAAATCCAACTCGATCCCATCATGTCATACGTTTCTACTTTGCTGACTGGCAGATATACCGCACAGCCATGTATCACCATGCGCCTCACGCCTCACGCCTCTCCCCGCATTACCAAAGTCCAGTGCTTATGTTGGTTTGCTGACCACTGACGAAATACACCATGTCAATGATTTGCATAACTGCGATCGGGATGATTATCTGGCGCAAGTCATGAACGAGTTACACCATGATGCCCAAGCGAAAGAGGTTTCAAACATGAAGATTTTCAGAAAGTCAAATCGAAATCGCCATGATCTTCTCCGCTTACACAGCCTCGGGACTTTATGCCAGAGGGGAACAGCATAAATCACCATCGCATGCACAAAGATCACCGGCATCTAGGATGGAAGCAATACGAAAGGAGAAAAATCTACGAAACCGGCAGCTCTTTCAAGCCTGGAAAATCGATACGCACCCTGCGATGATACACATCAAACCTTCTTCTTTTGCACTGCCTCATTTTAATTTCTGTGCAAGCTTTTACTTTCACCCCCTTTTGCGCTCTCCTCCGCGATCTTTGCTGCAAAGAGCCCATCTCGAATCAAGCCATGTTGTTTCAAGAAAGGTGACCCTGTTTCCCCCTCAACCGCTACGCGAGACCGAGCTCAACCGCACGTCTGGGCTTTTTTCTTTTGGGAAAAGGAGAATTACCCGAGACGTCGACGTTTCAGAAGGCCGTGCGAGACGAGAGGAAAATGTCACGATGGTAAGGTGATATAATCGGGTGATGAGGTTGAGCGCGGATGATGTTGGAGATGTTGTGTTGCAAGATCTCGTATTCTTTCTTTGACGAGGAGGTGGGTGGTATTGGGATGGGCAAGACGAGTCTTTGACAGCAATTGCTTTGCTTGAAACGTGTGAGATTTATTTTGAGGGCGTTGGAGTCAGGTTAAATCCAACATGCCTCGGTGCAGCAGCAGGCAAGTGACAAGCTCTTGCGAAGACGACTCTGCAATGTCACCACACGGACGATGGTACCTGCAGAGTGCAGAAGCAGTGTGATGCCAAAGTTCATCAAGATCGTCATGCAAATAGACGAGAGAAAGAGGAAGCTCGTGTCTGCTGAATTGGGTGAAGATGTTGGACACCTGGGACTCGAAGTGTTTTGATGGTCGTTGAAGCTCGGTTCGCAGACATCAGGAACGCTGTCCCGAAGAAGAAATCAAGAGGATACAGCGGACATTGCACTCTTCCATCTTCATCTAATACAGTCCTTACACCGGATCATATAGTTCATGAAGTACTGAAAGGAGAAGTTCTGGATATTAAATATCGAATTCGTTAATGGCCGCGTCATATGATTTTCGCCGGGTTCTGAAAAACATTGACAGCGAGAAACAAGTTGTTCAACCGATTGGTCGCGATCAAGTTGAAACATACGAAGATTGTTGAGCCGTTTGGAATTGAAAACCACCAAGATATCGCAAAGAGATCTTTCCGGATATTCTAGGCACAATAAATCGTAAAGAGTTGTCACATTTCTGAAAGATTTTCTCTCGCCTCAGTGGAGATTTCATTTGAAGTATATTGCTCTCCATCTTGATGACAAACAATATATTACCATTCGAGCTACGATGGATCATGAAATCCAACCCGTCGTATTCATACGGACCCTGTTTATCTTTCTGTCACGAACTTGCGGGCAGATAGAGTGGTTGCATTAGTGGTGTTCTCAGACCTCGAGTGTGCTGCGGGACGAGAGGCTCTGTGGGTTTTGAAGCTATCGCCACAAGGGAGGACCAACCCCGAAGAGCTCAGTGCTTTGCATTTTGAGTTCAGTGCTCAACGAGCCAACGAGGTTGGACCGAAGATACAACGATACAACATCGGATTGCTTAATCTATCTGAATTGGATGCCAATGCCCTAAGCATCGTCCGATGATTCGATGATTCATGATGATTAGTGACTGAGTGACTTGTCAGTCAAGCCGGAAGCCTCAGAGCGAAAGCCAGGAGTTGGGTAAGTAACGGAAACGGAGTTGTGATAATTATCCGACTGTTGAAATGCAACGGTGAAAAAAGAGGTCAAAACAGAGAGGGCGAAAGTTATACACAGTTCAGGCTGCTGCTGCAGGCAGAGTTACTTTGATTACATCATTATGAATTATGAACCATTCATACGGACAAATGAATCAATCAATCAACAAACTCGACTCGAGAAAGGAAGCCTTACCATTGCCCGTCTTACTCTGCATTCTCTCGTGTAGCCGATGGTCTGGTCTCTCTGCCTATTCATCTATTTCCCCAAAATAGCAAAAATTAATTTCTATACACAGCGCATCCTGCTTCCTTACAACGATGTTCCTTTTGCTCGCATCGTTTCGGCGATGGCTGCTGGGGATAAATGGGGGCTTCTGGTTGGGTGGTGTCTTGAAACAGGAGCCAAGGGGCGCACCACCCAATGGCCGAGTGCGCGACGGCACTCTCGAGTAGCGAGTCGCAGCGCCCGCGCGAAATGCAGCACTCTAAATCGTGCGAAGAGTGGTTCAGGTTCCACGGAAAAGAACAAAGGCGGTACGGAATCGGTGCTAAAAACAAAACTCCACCGTTGCGCGCCATCTGTTGGACGTCGATGTTTCTTTGTGATTTAGGCGAGCGCCATGAGCTGCCAGACAAACATCGTGTGTTTCGTGGTCAACCCCGGCACGGCAGAGCGACAAACCTGAAAGTCTGAAAGAGCGGAGCAGAGCAGAGCCAGAGCCTCGAGAGTGAAGCTGCCGTCCGCCTTTGAGTAGGCGGCTTGCCTTTGTTCCTGCTCTCGCCTTCGCTGACGGGACAGCTCCCTGAGGAATCACCCCGTATTACTTGAGGAAAATGCAACATTGCAACGTCCTTCTCACTGTGTCCTCGACCAATTCTCGTCAAGCAATGTACCGCAGAGAGGAAGGAGGACCTCGAAAGACGCAGCGTCGGTGGCTTGGGGCTCGCTTTGCCGGTGAAGTGCACCTGCAGCCAAGGGGGGACAGCCAGATCGGACAATTGAGTTGAATTCACACGCCTTTTCCGGCTGTCGCACCTCCTGTACAGCGTACCTGCAGTAGCGGACTCGTGCTGCCTCTTTCTGGGCAAAAGCTTCCGACTCGTTTCATCTGCCCCCTCATTCAGTCCCCATCGCGACTCTCTCGAGCCTCCTGGCCCGCGCCCTAAGCTCCTTTCACCACGGAAACCCTTCCATTCGAGCAGCAGGAGGGTCTGGAAGGGCGAACAGGACTCAGATCGCTTTGGCAGCAGCAGCTTCCCATGTTTCCTCTCCACCTTTGTCTGCGGCTCTAACTCTTTGTGGTTGACCTCCAAACAAGCTCTTGGCCATTTCCACCATCAAACGCGCGCGAACCGGTGTGGCCTTTGATCAAACGGGTGAAAGACACCCAAGTATAGCACGGTAGGACAAGGGCCACTCACCTCAAAGAGTCCGCAAAGACATGCCCCCCATGCGTTGCGGCCCCGCATCCCCTTTGACATGGGATGATAGGAGAGACGGGTGGCTGTGGCGGCGTTTGGTCGTGAGCCCCGACAGCCAGCGACTCCCAAACATATAACTTATCCTGAGATCCCTCAGGAATACTCTCTTTTCCTCCTCATCCTCTCCAGGTCTTTTCTTCCTTTTATCTGCTTGCAATAATCCTTTCTGAGTGCCAAAGTCATTCGCTTCTTTGCTCTCATATTTTTTTCTTACATCAATCAATTACCATCTATACATATACATATACACTCGCTCTACGCTCACTTACAGCACAGTCCAGTCTATATTCTAGTCAGAACAACAACAAGTTTCAACTGCAAATCGATCATCTATATTCAAAATGAAGACTCAAAGTGTCTCTTCTCTTATTGCCTTGGCATCCACCCTCCAAGTCGCCGCTGCAACTGTGAGTAAAAGTATATCCCTCATCGAGAACACTAACTGATCTCGCTTGTAGGGTTTTGGCTCAGGCGGCTTGTTCTCTTGCCCATCTAACACAAACAACGACTGTATTCCTCAGCAAAACACCGGTTTCGACTGGTCTACCCTCAACCCAGGCAAGCCTGTTACCAGCTATGGTGGAATGAACTTCCAAGGATGGGGTTGCGCCAACTCTTTTGGAAAGCGTGACTCTTTGGTCAAGCGTACATTCGCCAACACCAAGTGCATCACTGGTTCTGCCCACAGCGACAAGTCCAAGTCTTCTTCATTCAGCTGCGGTGCCAACACCGAGGTCAAGAAGTTCTCCGTCACTGAGATGCACGTTTCCGTAGAGTTCGACTGCGAGCTCGATTTCCACTTTGAGATGCCTGATAAGTCTACCTGCAAACAGACTTCAGGCTGCAGCACTGGCGGGTCTATTGTCAAGAACACTCAATGTGGTGGAGCTACCGCAGTTACCATCGTCTACCCACCAAACAAGGGTAAGAACAACGGAAAGGGCAAGGACAAGTGTGATCTCGGTATTCACAGCATTGGATTCGACTGCAACCCAGCTTCCAGCACTGTTACCCGTTCTACCTCCACAAAGGCCTCTTCCACCTCCACAAAGGCCACCACCACCTCTACATCTGCTGCTCAGACCACCCCAAAGACCAGTCCAGCTGAGACTACCACCGCTGCATCTTCCAGCGCTTCTTCAAGTGCTTCGGTCAGCGTTTCATCCTCTGAGGTTGTGAGCAGCAGCACTGCTGGAACTACCACTGCTGAGTCTACCACCGTCGAGTCTACTGCTGGTGTTTCTTCATCCTCCACCTCTGCCACTTCATACGGTAACTCCAGCACCATCGCTGTCCCAAGCCCAAGCAGCTCTGGATTGACCACTCTCGTCTCCACCACCGCATCAGTCAGCTCTGCTGAGGTTCCTTCCACCACCGAGGGAGCATCAACCACCGAGTCTTCTGCCGCTGGAACCACCACTGAGTCCTCTGCTGCTGGAACCACCGAGACCACTGCTGCATCCTCATCTGTTGAGTCCCCATCAGTCACTCTCCCAGCTGAGTCTTCCATTGCCGTCACCACCGTTGTCGTTGTCACCACCGAGACCACCTGCCCATTCACCTCTACTCACACCACTGCTGGCACCACCAGTGTTGAGGTTGGAACCACCGTCTCCACCATCACGGTCTCTTCAACTGTCACCTCCACAGTCTGCACCCGATGCACTGCTGTCCCAACTGAGACCGCTGGTGTCCCAACTTCCCCAGCTGCCACCTCCGCCGTCTCTACCACCTCCACCTCCGCTGGCCCAGCACCAACTGCTCCAGGTGTCCCAGAGACTCTTCCAAAGTGCATGAACACCTGGAACTTCATCGTTGGATGTGTTGACAACACCGACCACTCCTGCTACTGCCCAAGCACCGAATTCGTCAACAACGTCTTCGAGTGTCTTGCCGCCTACGGAGCTGACGACAAAGCTGTTGCTGAGGCCGCTGCCTACTTCCAAGGTATCTGCGCACCATACATTCCCCAGAACCCAGCTATCATCACTGGATGCCCAACTGTCTCCCCACCAGCTGCTGCCACCACCACCGCTTCAGTTTCTGCTGCTTCTTCAGTTGAGGTTCCAGGTGTTACCGCATCATCTGTTTCCGCCTCATCTGTCTCCGTCCCAGCTGTCTCCCTTCCATCTCCATCATCCGTCGAGATCCCAGGTGCCACCGCTGCTCCATCAGTCACCCCAGCACCAGTTGCTCCAATTGCCAACGTTCCAGTCACCACCATCTCATTCGTCTCAACCATCACCGTTCCATGTGTTGAGTCCACTGGTGTCTCTTCCGGTCTGGTCATCCCATCCTCCTCCACCACCACCGCAATCTCCACCGTCATCACCGTCCCTCAAGTCGTATTCTCCACCCCAACCGCCGCACCATCCGGAACAGCCACCGCTGCCGTCCCAGTCCTCGTCGTCGGCACCCCAGCCGCCGTCCCAGCAGAGACCACCCCAGTCTCCGGCAACTCAGGCAGCGCCCCAACAACCATTGCCACCGTCCCAATCGCCGCCCCAACAGGAGGCAACAGCACCGCCTCCCCAACCGCTCCCCTCCTCGCCAACAGCGGTTCCTCCACCGGCGTTGCCTTTGGCAGCATCCTGGGCGCGGCTCTCCTCGCCATCTTCGCTTTGTAAGCGGATTTCGTCACATCTGTACAGGACACTTCGCATTTACAAAGACCGCATGCATTGGGGGGCGTTTACACTTCGATACCATCATTTACACCGGATTTTGGGAACATATTTGGGCCTGCTTATAGGACCCGTACGGCAGTCTGCCATGATTACTATGAATTGAATTGGATGGAGGGATACTGTTTGTATATCAAAAAGATATGGTTATGTAATGTGAATGGGGGATGAGGGGGAGGTACCAAAAACTCGAGAAGTCGTTTATTTTTTCTTTTATGTGGAGGATTTGTGGCTGGCTTGTCAGTCGGTCACTGTAATTATTAGATGCCTAGTGCAAACTTTGCTAGTGCGCTGTTGCGCTTTTTCTTTGGATCGTGAGAGAGAATAGATATATGAATATTCTATATAATATTTTAACAGATGAGTTGGGTTTTATGTGCTTGTGATGAGTTTGTTGAACAACAGAGCTTCTTCTGTCTGGTTATCTAGTTGACTTCCGAGTCAATCTCAAACACCATCCTGAACTCTTCACCTCATCTCACCCATTCAACATGCTGATTCGACAATACTTCTCCGACCACAACACCATTCTCCTCGAAATCGCTCCTCCATTCTTCTCACTCTCCCCCTCCAATCCCCTCCACATTCTTCTCACTCTTCCCCTTACCACACATTCTCCCCCCAAAATACCACCTTCCCTAACCTTCCCTAACCCCTCCCTCACTCTCGGTCCTTCTTCTTTTTTTCCCCTCCTCCTGCACCTACAAACACCCTCGCTAAATTAAGAAATACGGGATTAACCGAGGGAGTGTGCATTGCATATGCAGAATCCTTTACACCACACCATACCATACCATATCATAGCTTATTACCGATACTGACGCCGATTTCGAATAACCGGTCTGTAGGATGGGTTCGGGGTATGATGGATAGGGAGTTTAGCTTGGGAATTTACGAGGGAAGGGGGGGTGTGGGCTGGGATAGAGGGGGTGTAGGTTTGGGACTTGGGACGATGGATGGGGAAGGGAAGGGAAGATAGAGGGGGAGATGTGAGGTTGAGTCTGATTTTAAGTTTTGGGGATGAAGGGTTGAAAGGGTTGGAAGGGGGTGGTGGATGGTGGATGGTGGATGGTGGGTGAGAAGAGATGGGAGGTATGGGAATAGCTGACCTCACAATGTACCATCATGTATCTTTTTTAAACGAACGTTGTGGAGATATCTACCCGATCTAGACGTATCTTCGAGGACCGTATCATAGTATAAATGTATATGTTTCTTTTGTTTTCTGGGGTGCTTGACCTATGTATAGTAACTCGTTGCTTTAAAGTAGAAATTTAGAGTAGAGGTATTTTGGCGATGGGAGAAAGTGGGTGATGTTCTATAACTCCGTTATACTTTGACATCGAAATTACATTAGACACTTTCTCTTGTAAACTACACTAAGAAAAGATTCTAAGCTCCAAGCCGCAACACTACACTCTTCCTCCAAGGGCCCCCTCAATCGTGTTTCTTCGCTAGTCTACCACTAATCAGCTCCAACATATCCTACCTCCCACCTTCCCACTATACCAACAGTCCTACAATCTCCATCCCCATGTACATCTATAAACACCGTATATCACAACCACCCACGCACCATCGCGCTGCAAAAACCCATATCAACCCTCAACTCACATATGCGAACCACTTCTCATTAGAAACACACCACCTCATCCCCACCCTCGTACAACTACTCACAACCCTCTTATCTTTACTGAAGTACCGACGTTAGCTTTACATCGAAAAGCCCTGCCGCACTCACGCACTAAAATCCTCACTTACAAACACCACTCGACCACCTTAAATCACACCAAATTCCACAGATACATCTACATCCCCGTTGTCTTGAGGAGAAGTGTTATCACGAAGATGTCGCGATGATTCGTGAGGGGTATGTTCAGCTGGGAAGAGATCAATTCTTTGTTAGATAGGGATTTATTCGTCGGACAATTAGTAAAGAGTCATTGTAATTACTCAATTTAGGAAACGTGATACAGGTAAGCGACGGTACGGGACGCTATTTACGTTGGTGATAGGGACTTTTTGGTAGAATGAGAGGTCTGGCTGAGAATGGTGCAAGTTAAAGGCGTGATGGGATGGAATCCTAGGTTTTCTGTCGGTGAGACATGAAGATCTTAGACAGAGTAGCTTCTTTCCTTTGACAAGCCACTTCTTCTTAGCAGGATCATCATGTACCTGAGATCCGGCAAATTCCTCATTCAAATAGTGAAGGGTCAAGAATTTGACAGTGATATCGTCGAGTGGTTCAGGCTGAAGAAGAAACGCACTGAAGAAAACTTCTATACCTGGAGGATATTTCAAGTCGTAGAGCGCAATGATAGAGAACCTCCATGTTTCTGACTGTAAAAGATTATGAACAGACACCCAATCCCAGACGCCGTACGATGACAGAATAACTCATCTATCCAGCCCCCCCGGACAGTTCCGAGCACATATATCTTCTTCTGATCCCCAACTCAACCTCATTTCGCCATTCTCACAATCCTATCCCCCCTATCCCCCCTATCCCCACACAT